TAAGTTATAGTTGTCATGGCCTTTTACCCCTAAATACTTATTTAGGAAAAATCCCTAAATATTTCCTAAGAATAGGGATAGTCTTTTACATAATCACAGTGTCATTATCAACTTCAGTAAACTTAACATGGCTGCCAGACTTCCACCTAATTCACCATTCGTATTCTGTCCTATCAGTTGACCAAATAGTATCTTTTTTAAAAAGATTTTATTTATTTATTTATTTAGAGAGCAAGCGAGCACTCTTTTTTTTTTTTCTTAAGATTTTATTTATTTTTTTGAAAGAGAGAGAGAGAAAGAGGAAAGAGCACAAGCAGGGGGAGTGGCAGGCAGAGGGAGAGGGAGAAGCAGACTCCCCACTGAGGATGGAGCTGGACACGGGGCTTGATCCCAGAACCCTGGGATCATGACCTGAGCCGAAGGCAGACGCTTAACCGACTGAGCCACCCAGATGCCCCTATACACACTCTTGTACTCTGTTTTATCATTTCACAGCGTATCTTGAAGATTTTCCATATATAAGTCTATGGTGTACTCCCCATTATTTGTATAGTTGTGCAGTATTCCATCATATGGCTGTACTGTACGTTATTCACGCACCTTCTAGGATGGACATTTGGGTTGCCTCCTGTATTTTGTTCTTATAAACAATATTGTAAAAAAGGCCCAATGTTTTGAAATAAAATTGTTTAGATTTCTTTGGGCTTCATTAAAATAAACTTACTTGGCCACTTTATAGCTCCCACTTACGGCTCAGATTGGGAGGCTGCTACCCCAGAGCATTTCTCCCATCTCCGACAGGACAGTAGCCCTACTGGGTGATGAGTCCGGGGGCCAGATCTTTATCCATGGAGGAAAAATGTGTGCCTTGTCAATGTGTGAACTGGACCTCTCCTCCCTCCTCCACACCAATTCCTGAACTTCCTCTCAGTCTGTGGGATGGCAGCTGGGATTTCAGCCCTCACATTTCTCCTGCGCCCACGTTCCAGTGGTCCAGAACACAACGCTGCCGAGAGGGATGGCAGGTCTGGGAAGACTGGGGAAGCAGTGACATTTTCCTACTGTAGGTTGCAGGTGGTGGGGCCAAGGGGGTTTCCTTCCCACCTGCCCGGCTCTGCCCACACTCAAGAGCTGGCGCTGACGCTGCCTGTGCAGGACCCCCAGGCCCCTCCTTTGACCCTTACTGAATCCTGCCTGCCACAAGTGGCCACTGGTTGGTGCCACCCACTGCCACTGAGCGTGGGGCATTGCCGGCTCGTGTAGGCCCCTGGGCCCTAGGGTCTGTGCCTTCGTCTTGATCTTTGGATGCGGTGGGTCTCCCTGAACGTCTGGGCCCTCCTCCGCCGAGGCTGCCGGAATAAAGCCACCTCTCCTCCATCCACCGTGCAGGAATGAATGAAGAGTGGCCATGGGGTTTCCTGTGATCAAGCCTCAGGCCCATCCCACCTCCCCAGGGAGCCCGGCCAACCCGGTCTGGCCTCCCAGAGCAATTCTGTGGGCCCACTCTGGGGCTGCCTGCTCCTTAGGCTTGGGGACAGCCAGCCTGCTGTGCCGCCTCCAGGCTCTCTTCCCAGGGGCGTGGGGGCTTGTGACGGCCACCCAGCTCCTCCAAAGGACTGGTCCCAAGGCCTGTGGCAGGGGTGGGAGGTGGGGGCATCTCAAGGTCCGGCAAGACGTTGAGGGAGGAAATAACAAGCGCTCCCTCCCGGCCCAGGTCTCCCAGCCTCCGGAGGTGCCTGGGCTGACAGGGGTGGGGCCGGCCTTCCCGCTGCATTTCCTCCCATTGTTCCCGCCCCACTTCCGGGAATTCTCCGGGGGCGCGGGGCCGGCGGGCCCGGGGCCAGAAGGGGAGGCCGCAGAGGGCAGGTCGGCTCTGGCCGCCGCGGCCCCGGCTCCGGAGCTGGAGCGCCGGCCGCATGACTGCACCGCGGGACCTGCCCCCCTCGCCGCTCCCACTGCCCGTTCTGCCTCCCGCCTCCCCAGGGGATCCCTCGGGGAATCGGAGGACCCGAGTTCGAGGGCAGGCTCGGTCATCCGCCTGCTGGAGCCAGTCCCCCTGCTCTGCCGCCCCACTTTCCCCGTGAAGGACGGGGGGCTCTGGTTGCCCATGTCGCCCGGATTCACGGGTCTTTTACGCCGACGGTCTTGTCATTTTGACGATGCCTGGGTCCTGACGTAAGCCCAGCTCACTAACACGAGTTTGCTCCTCGGCGAGTCACAGGTAGAGACGAGCCCAGCTGGAGCTGTTGCTCAAAGGAAGCTTTCTTTGCCGCAAGTACGATCGCGGGGAATAGCTTCCGAAGCCGTGACTCCCCTAGCAAGGGGTGAATGGGTTGCTTTTCTTGACAATATTTAGGTAGGGGAGGCTTGTCATCTGTGTGGAGACGGGCACGAGGCGGGTCGTGCGCCTTAGGGAGACACGCCTATCCTAACATTGTATGTTATGTAAATGAGGCTTGTGCTCCAGCTTGGGCGGGGATTTACTATTAGCCTGAGGTAGAGGTAACTGTCCCTCACTCCATGGGTCCCTCCGTGGTCTGTCTGCGCAGGTGTCAATGGGGAGTGAAGCCCGAACTGGTCTGGATGGTCTGGGGCCGGAGCTCTTCACCAGGGCAGTCATTAGGGTTTGAGGGGCAGTTGCGGTTTCTGGCTCGAGATGCTATGCTAGTGGGTTCTTTCTCCTGAGTGAAGAGATGAGCCGGATAGAAGCGCTAATGGGAAAATGTGGAACAAAGGGCGGTGGGTACAAGCAGCTGAGCGGTAAAGGTCAGGTCTTGGGAGCTAGCTGGTGACACTGAGGACACTTCAGTCAACACCCTGGTGGCAGGTGCCTTCCCCACGCTGGCCCTGGGGCGGACACCCTCCGGGAGCCCCTGCTTAGTAAGCTGTGCTACGAGCCTGCTCCGTGCCGCAAAGGAATATAGCAGACACCAGTCCAAATTCTAGAAGATGTGGAATTTTCTAGCATCACGAGGAATGAATGTGAGGGAACGTCTCTCGCTTTAGCCCTTTCTTTAAAGAAATGTTAGAAAAATGTTACAAAATTCAGCACACACCATGCTCCTGCCTTGCTAGCAAGGGAACCTGTAAGGTGACCAAGAGTCCACTGTTTCCAAGAAGAATGGAGCTCAAGCGATTTTATTGAGCGGCCATTAATAGTTAATAAGCAGCTATTAATTAATTGTTTTTATCGTGGTAAAATATATGTAACAAAACTTGCCATTTCAACTATTCTAAATGCACAGCTCAGTGGCATTAAGCACATTCACACTGTTGTGCAACCTTCACCACCCCACAACTTTTTCATCTTCCCAAACTGAAACTCTGTACCTACTAAATAATAACTCCCCATTTCCCCTACCCCCAGCCCCTGGTAACCTCTGTTTTACTTTCTTCATGAACTTGCTTATTTTAGGAACCTCATATACATGGAATCATACAGTATTCGTCCTTTTGTGTCTGTCTTATTTCACTCAGCATCATGTCTCCAAGGTTCATCCATGTTGTAGCATGTGTCAGAATTTCGTTCTTTTTTAAGGCTAAGTAATATTTCATCGTATGCATGTTTTTATTTAATTTATTTTAATTAATTAATTTTATTTTAATTTTTGTTGCATTTTATTTATTTTATTTATCCATTCATCTGTTGATAGACACTTGTGTTGCTTTTATTTTTTGGTGATTGTGAATAATGCTGTTATGAATGGGGGTGTACAAATATCTCTTCAAGTCCCTGGTTTCAAGATTCTTTTTTTTTTTTTTAAGGTTTTATTTATTTATTTGACAGAGAGAGACACAGTGAGAGAGGGAACACAAGCAGGGAGAGTGGGAGAAGGAGAAGCAGGCTTCCCGCCGAGCAGGAAGCCCGATGTGGGGCTCGATCCCAGGACCCCGGGACCATGACCTGAGCCGAAGGCAGATGCTTAACGACTGAGCCACCCAGGCACCCCAGTTCTCTTGAGTATATACCCAGAAGTAGAATTGCTAGATTATATGGTTTGATCCATTTTTGCATTCCCTTTTTTCCATGCCCGTCAGCAGAGCACAAGGGTTCCAATTTCTCCACATCCTTACCAACTTTTGTTGTTTTCTGTTTTTTGGATAGTAGCCATCCTAATGAATGTGAGGTGATCTCTCACTGTGAGCAGCCAGTGTTAAAATCAGCTATTTAGGGGCATCTGGGTGGCTTAGTCGGTTAAACGTTCGACTCTTGGTTTCGGCTCAGGTAGTGATCAAGAGCTCATGCTCCACATCGGATGCAGTTTGCCCATTTCTTAGCAGGGAACACAAATTTTTTCCTTGGCACTCTTTGGAAGGGTCCCTTAACTGGTCATCACTCGGTGACCTACTCTATCCTAAGAGCCCGTTCGTTTATGGGGCCCCCACCCCTCACTTGGAGATTCTGCCTTATGTATATGTGGTGTGATAGTCCCTGGCCTCTCTTGGGAGTGGGGTATGTCTGCCCTTCCCCAATTTGCTTTTCTCCCTGTCCCTGAAGACAAGAAAGACTGTTTTTCATTTATGACCATTGCTGGCCGAGCCCTGGGAACCCAGGATAGACGGCCTGTGTCAATGTGGCTGCGGAGCAAGCAGATGTGGTGGTGGGGGTCCCCCTGCAGGGGTCCCCTGCTTTCAGGAGACCGGTGGATTGCTGAGGTCTGATGGGCAAGGCAGCCCTTCTATGGGAGTATCCAGGCGGACAGGGATGGTGGGTCTGGCCCTCTGGGGAAAGGCAGAAATCTGACCTTGGGAGAAGGGAAGGTGTCTCTCATCCTTGTGCAGGGAAGGGGGAGCCTGACCCTCCAGGGATGATGCATGGGGTGACTGGGGGCAGGGGGCTAGGGAGCCTTGAGGGGTTCTAAGGGACTGTGGTGTTCGAGGCAGATCAGCTTTGTCTGCAGGGTGTTTGTGTGGTAAGATGCTGGCGGGGGGTGGTATGTTGGAAGAAGAGCCAGGCACATTAAGCTAGTTCTCTACATTCTACTTTTCTCTCCACTTAGGTTCTTGGGGGAAGCCCAAGTCCCACTCCGGGAGGTTCTCGCCACCCCCAGTCTGTCTGCCAGCTTCAACGCCCCCCTGCTGGACACCAAGAAGCAGCCCACAGGGGTAAGTGCCCACTGGGCCTTTGCATCAGGCTAGTGTCTGGTCTGAGGCCTTGCCTTTCTGATACCAGTGGCGTGTCATGGCCCATCTACCAGCAACCAGCCCTGGTCCCCCCGAGCTCTGGCCAGGGAGAGGAATTGGCATGGAAGGGACAGGAAGGGGACAGGAGGGAGCCCTGGCCCTTCCTGTGGGGCTCAAGTCAGCCTTGCCTCACACCAGCTTGGCCTGCCCCTCGGTCTCCTCCTGCCCTGGAGGGAGGCATGGTCACCTCCAGGGATTGGTTCCTTCTTTTTTTTTTTTTTTTTTAAAGATTTTATTTATTTATTTGACAGAGAGAGAGACAGCGAGAGATGGAACACAAGCAGGGGCAGTGGGAGAGGGAGAAGCAGGCTTCCCGCAGAGCAGGGAGCCTGATGTGGGGCTCGATCCCAGGATCCTGGGATCATGACCTGAGCTGAAGGCAGACACTTAACAACTGAGCCACCCAGGCACCCCCAGGGATTGGTTCTTTACTAGAAACCTGATGACTCCCCAAGCTTCCTGGGCAGCTTTGGTGATGGCTCCCCCAATCTCCTCGGTAGCCCTCCCTCACTTCCCCACCCCATCTCCAGATCCGGAATATCTGAGTCATCTGGGTGGCAGATCACAAGGGAAGGGAGACAGACATCCCCCTCCCCTGCCCACCGGAACGTGTTAGACCCTCTTCCTTTGCTCCATTGTCCTTCCTGCCCCTCCCCCAGCCTTTCCAGTGCTCTTCCAGTCCTTGCAGACAATTCCCAGCCCTCATCTCTGGCTTCCCGTTATTTTTAGGGAGCTAAATATACCCTGCAGGGCTCTTTCTTCCTGGTCAGTAGAACTCCTGACCTTCCCTCTGGGTCAGCGCCACCTACCAGGAGGCACTGGGGGACTATCCATTTGGAAATACTTCCTCCCAGTGGGGCCCTGGGGATTCTGGGCTGCATTCTCTTTGAGTGGGGCTACCTTGTGTCTGTGTGTGTGTGTGAGGGTGGGGAACCTTGGCTGGCTTAGTAAATCAGGAAGTGGCAAATCTGGCAGAGCTCTGAAAGGAACCACTACTGGGTACTGAGAGCTAGAGAAAGAGAGTGACTGACTGAAGTCACACAGTGAATCCATGTCCAAATGGGGACAAGTCAGAGGGTGGCACATCTCCTAAACTCTCAGGGGTGGTAGCGACTTGGACTCCTGGCCCACTGCCTTTCTGATGCTGGAATTTCCTCCGGAGGCATCTTAGGCTAGTGGTGGCTGGATGCTTCCCTGATGGAGAGAGGTTACTTCCCAGGAGAATCCATCCCTTTCTCAGACGGTGCTCACTGGCAGGACATTCTGGTTTAGTGCAGTGATCACTTGTAGGTTTGTAAGCTCTTCAGGGGCTTCCCAAGTGAAATCTGGAACCAGTCCCCTTACATGGAAGGCAGGAAGAGACCCAAGAAAGAGGCAAGCCACTCCAGACTGGGAGGCGGCAGGGTTAGTAAGCTAGGGGACTTACCTATGAGGCATGTCTGGGGTGGCAGCAAGATGAGTAGATCTCTGCACCCATCTACCACATCTTAGAAGTTTATATAGAGCTCTTAACTGGGTTCAGTCATGTATACCATCCAGATAGTCTCAACACCATGTCACTAGCTCAAGACTCTGCCTGGAGCAACCTCTGGGAGCAAGGAGGGCAAGCAGAACTTACATTCCATGGAGAGTGGAGAGGGGGAAGAGCCTCTAATTGCCTGGGTTTATCATGGGTCAGCTGGTGGGCACATCCTCTCAGTGACCTCCAGCATCACTGAGCCTGTCTCCATCACCTTCTGAATCCCCCTTGTCCTCCCCCTGAGTTCTCCAGTCTACTCATGCAATCGAAGGGTTCCAGCGCCAATTTCCAGTTTTGCCCCCGACACCACCAAGGAATTCTCTGACCCCAGTTGGGCATCCTATAACTCAACTCAATTCTGACACTGTCTATCCAGGAACAGCTCTGGGTTAAGGGCTCAGTCCTACAAGACCTCCCCTTCCCCTTCCGATGCCAGTCCCAAGTCCAGGTTCCCCCGTGCTTCTGACCAACTGGCTCTAGATTGGACGTTCCTGTGACCTCCTCCTTGGGTTTGATTAACTTGCTAGAGTGGCTCACAGGACTCAGAAAAACATTCTACTTACCAGATTACTGGTTATTATCCAACCTGGAAGCTCTCCAATCCCTGTCCTTTGGGGTTTTATGGAGGCTTCATTGGCAATTGAACTCCATCTCCAGCCTGGATCTCCTCCCTGGAGGTGGTGGGGGCTGAAAGTTCTACAACCCTCTAACCTCAAGGTTGGCTTCACTAGCAACCAGATGCCATCCTTAGGTGATTTCCAAAGTCACCTCATTAGCACAACAAAAGACACCTTGATGGCTCTTACTACTTAGGAAAGTCCAAGGAATTCCTAAAAGGGGCTCTATGCCAGAAACAGGGATAATGACTAAATATACATATAGACACCACATATGTAATTATAAATCACAGTATCACAACCCTAGAGTCAAGAAGGACTCCAAGCACTTCTGGATCCTGAAGAGGACCACAGCTTTCTGTAAAGGTGTAGAGCACTCATGGAGGAACTGTAGATAGCTGGTGAGGGAGATACTTTGTCAGGGATCTGAGAAACACTAACATTTACCTGTTTATTAAAAAGATATAATAAAGCATATGAATCAACTGCCAGAGGAAGAGATAGATAGGGCAAAGTCCTGAACAAAGGAACTTCTGTCCTTGTGGAGCTTGGGACCCTGTTCAGTGGCACATGGAAGCATTCGAGTTCCCTCAGCATGGAAACTCTCTGAAAAAAGAGACCAAAAAACTTGAGTTTTTAATGGAGACTTCATTATAGTCATGATTGACTAAGTCATTGGCCATTGGATAATGCAACCTTCAGCCCCTCTCTCCTCCCCAGAGGTTGGGAGGGATGGGATTGAAAGTTCCAACCCTCTAATTGCATGGTTGGTCCTCCTGGCAACCAGCTCCCACCCTTCCATGGGGTCCAAAAGTCACCTTCATTAATAACAAGACACCCATTTTACCTTTATAGCTCTGAAGTGTTTTCAGGAACTGTGGATGAAGACCCAATATTTCTGAGAAATATAGTTTGGTCACCTGAATGACCAAATACGTGTTTCTTATAAATCATTAAATCACAGCCTCCAGTGCCTTCAACCAGGGTTTCTAGCTTCTGGCTTAGCTGCTCAAACATCTCTCCACTCTTGCCCTCTGGGCATCCATGACTGGTGTTTCTTGCAAGTTCTCCTGCACTTGGGCCCCTGTAAGCTCAGATGCCTGTCCAGCCCCTGAGACACAGCTTTTCACACCTGGTCCCTGTCCACGGGGCTGAGCCAGGTTGGTGACCATCCCTGAATGCCTCACCTTTCCTCCTCTGGCTCTTTGTTCCCACACTCTGTGCTTGGGAACCTGGTGTCTGTCGGGGGAGTGGGGAGTGGGCTGGTCTGGGGTTTGGTCGTGCTAAGCTCAGTGTCAGAGAGTTGTGGCCAAGGAAGCAGGCAGTAAGCAATGGGGCTGAGCATGGTGGGGTGGGCAAAGGACCCCAGAGCTTAGCCACATGACCTGTAGGAGGATCTGATGAGGTTGTCCTCTGTCTCTGTCTTTGGTTTCCTAGGCCCTTCTAGCCTGGGGGCCAGACAGGACCCTCCAGAGTTCTGTACTGTTGTTGACTGTGGGCCCCAAGATGGCAGACACAGGTGACAGGTTCCCTGCTCCAGGGCAGCGTGTCCTGGTGGACACATGACTGACTGATAATGGTCATGGGACAGGATGACTGCATGGCGGTGCCAGGGCTGGAGACTTGAGAAACGGGGCTATCAGGTGGGGCACCTTGATGTGATTGGCCTCAGAGGGACTCTAGGCCAAGGTCATGTGGTTTGGGAGAGCATGGAGCTCACAGATGTCCCATAGGAAGAAAATCTCAGCTTTGGTAACCGTTATGTCTGGAGAAGGGGACAGGCACTGAGGTATGACATCATGGTGAAGGTGGCAGATCCTGACCCTGGGTGGGGTCAGGACCATAGACACGCCCCCCCTAGAGATCCCCGGTAGAGCTAAAGGCCTCTAATATTAATCACCTGTGGTCCCGAAGCAGTGGTCCCCAGAGCCTGTTCTAGGCCCTGGGCTTTAGATCCTCTGAAGCTGCCAGGGATGTCCCTGTGGCTCCTTGATGGGTAAATAAAAGATGGAGCTGGCTCTGTGCCAGAAGTCTCATTCAAGTGCCTGGACCCACCAGGATGTCTCCATTTCCTCAGGAGGTTGGTGTGGGGCTCTCAGTATGTGGGTAGCTGATACTCAGGAAACCTAGGGAAGGGCTGCCTGGGTGGTCTTCAGATTCTGTGGCCGTAGCTCCTTCCTGCTTCTCCTGCAGGGCTGCTCCCAAACCCCCATGCTAAGGCGCTGGTCCACAGGCCATGGAGGGGAGCGGTCATTCTCCTGTGGGCCCACGTCTGCATTGAGCACAGAGATGGTGTGCAAAGTCCCCAAGGCTGTGGAGGGCCTGGGTGGGCAAGGCACGCTCCGAGAAATAAGAAGGGGTGTTCTCCAAGGGGATCTGGTCCTAGGGCCAGGGGACCTCAGGCACCAAGGGTTAGAAGAACGGTGGGGGTGTGTGTGTGAAAGGCAGCCAAGGTGTGTCCCCTCCAAGGTTTGGCTTCTCTCTCCTCACCTTAGTGGGGTCCACTCAGACCACTCGATTTAACACTGCCGCCCCTCCTGCTCCCCCTTGCTCTGGTCGACTTTTCTTTCTAACGTACTTTATTAAGTTAGGTTATCTATTTCATTTTTTATTTATTGTCTGTCCCCTCTGCCAGGATGTCAGCTCCATGGGGATGGGAGGTTTCACTTTGTTCATGGAAGTATCCCACGATCTTGAAGTGCTTGGCCCTTAGCAGGTGCTCCATATATATTTGTGCAGGAAATGAATAAGCAAATTAATGAGTGAATGGGTCCGGCCAGATATGGCAGGTGGGACGCTGTCTGACCTTTCAGATGCTTGCCAAGCTCAGGCTGAGCCAAGGAATCAGCCCACAGAGGGCTGGCCTCATGGGCAGCTAGGCCCTGCACTTGGTTTAATTCTCTGCTGTTGCCATCTTGACATTCCTAATACCTTTTTAACAAGGGACCATATTTTCATTTTGCACTTAGCCTCACGCTACTTCTGAAGAGTGGGAATCAGCATGAACGGGGCAGGGCTTTATTTGTCTCTCTGAGTGAGATTCCTATGATTATAGCAGAAGCAGATTTCTCAGATTTTTAACCTCTTATTTTAAAATAATTTAAGTTTTAGAGAGAAGTTTCGAGAATAGTACAAAGTACTGTTTAGAACAAAAAAGTCACCAACCTCCTGGCCCATCACGCTGAATTTAGTGTGTGTTTTCTCCGATTAAGGACTTTTTCCTATGGAGCCTACAACCTTCAGAAACTGAGGGAATGAGTGTGATACAGCGCTGCCATCCAAACCACAGACCCCCCCATTCAAGTTTATCAGTTTTTTCAGCAGTGTCCTTTGTAGCAAAAAGATCCAATTCAGGATTATATGTTGTGTTAGTTGTTTGTCTTCAGTCTCCTTCCGTCTGGGAGAACTCATCAGTCTTTATTCGGCTTTTACAACCTTGGGACCTTGACGCTTTGGGGAATGCAGGCCAGTTTCCTGTAGAATGTCTCCCAGTTTGGGTCTGTCTGAGGTTTCCTTGCGATTAGATTTAGGCTGAGCATCTTTGGCAGGAAGAGAACACAGCGACCATGTGCTGCTGTCATTGTATCCGGATGACTGTTCTCTTAACCTTGAGCATTTGATGAATGTCGCCTTTGCCGGCTTTCTCCACCCATCACCAATCCATCCCCTTTTCTAATAGGTAGGAATTGTGGGGGGAGGTACCTTGTGACTCTAAATACTCTGATTCTCATCCAACTTTTACCCGGCAGTTTTCATATCCACTGTTGTTTCATTGGTTGGATTAATTCTTGTTTTGATGGTTGTCAAATGGTGATGTCCTAAGCCAATTATTTTTTTCTGCCTTCATCAGTTGGTATTTCACTGTAAGGAGAAGCTTTCTTCTGTCCTATTTATTTATGTGTAGATTAATGTATTCCTATTTTATTCAGTGGTTTAATTTACTATATTTATTTTCATATTTAAATTGTCCCAGATTTGGCCAGTGGGAGTCCGTGAAAATAGGTTTCTGCGTCCTTTGGACATGTTTCTATCATTCTTTGGGTATTGCCTTGCTTTCTGGCACAAAAGGGTTCCAGGGTCATCTACTTTTGCTGGACTAGCCCTAGAATTAGTTATTTTTCCAAAGAGCCCAACTTGCCTTTTGATGAAGTGGGGGAAAGCCCCAGGATGGTTGTTAAAAGTACAGATGCCCAGGTCCACCCCAGACCTGCTGACTGGAATCTCCAGGAGTTCAGGGGTGGTGATGAGTGTCTGGGCAAGGAGGTGGGGCCCCAGAAGCTGTTCTTTCCTCTCTGGGCTGCAGGAGCTTAGGGTGCATGTCTTGTGGCATGCTCAAGTGGCGACACCTGCTGGTGATTCTCAAACCTGCACAGCAGGCAGCAAGGGCAGAGCCTTGGTTCCATGACAGAAAGGGTCTCATTGCCTTCCTGGCCTCTCCCTGGGTCTCTTGGGACGCTGAGCTGGCGCTGGCTTCCTTCCTTGGTGCTCTGAGCCCCACCCTTCCACGGGTCCTGCCCTCCCTTAGCCTGGCTGCCCCTGCCCAGGCCCCAGTCTGGGGGTTCAAGCCCCAGACCTGGAGCCATCCAGTACCTATGGCCCTTTCTGTCTCAGGACCAGGATTCGCCCCAGGAGTTTCTGGAATCCTTAATGTTACTCAGTGGAGATGTCTAGTGAATTATGCTGAGCTGCTCAGGGGATATTATGCATTATTAACAATTATGTTTATACAGGATTTGTCAAAACCTGGGAAATGCTTACTGTTTAACATAAGGAAAATAGAAAAGCATTTTATATACAGAAGGGCTGTTCAGTATTTGTTTAAAAAGATTGGAGAGAATTAGATCAAAATGTGAATAAAGGTGGACTTAAGGCAATTTATTTTCTCTTGCATTTTCTTTTCTTTTTTCTCTTTCTTTTTTAAGATTTATTTATTTATTTGAGAGAGAGAGGGGGAGAGTGGGAGCATGAGTGGGAGGAGGGAAGAGGGAGAGAATCTCAAGTAGACTCCCCACTGAGCGTTGACCGCCCCCCCACCGCAATGCGGGGCTTGATCTCAAGACCCATGAGATCATGGCCCATGAGATCATGACCTGAGCTGAAACCAGGAGTTGGATGCTTGACCAACCAACTGTGCCACCCAGGTGCCCCACATTATTTTTTTTTTTCTTTAAGGTTTCTGTACTCTCTAAACTTTCTTCAATAGAGCATTTATTATTTTGATCCATAAAAAGGCTGCCCCAGGAGGCCTGCTGGACCTATGGTACCAGGGAAGGCTGGGCCAGGCCCCCACTGGCCTAGGAGCTATAAGGCTGGAGACCCTGCTGAGGCTGTTTCTTCAGGTTCTAGGGCCCTTTGAACAGTGCAGGTCTTGTTGCAGGGGAGATGCAGTGTGTCCGTGGGGTGACAACACAGGGCAGGCTTTCCTGGCCCATGAGAATGGGGTGACTAGTCCCTCTCCCCTCAGCTGGTCAAAGCTGGAACAGCTAAGTTCGAGTTGGGGGACAGGGGTACTTCTGGGAAGGAAGAGGGCTCAGAAGGGTGAGCAGCACCTTGAGACTCTCAGAGCTAGCTGGGGCCTGAGCAGAGCGAGGCTGAGCCGCTTGTGGAGAAACAGGGGAGGGCCCTCAGTTAAGCAGAGTGGCCAAGGGGCTTTTTCCTGAAGATGGGCCAGGCTGAGAGTTGAAAAATCCTGCAGGAGAGGTTGAATTGCTGATTCATTTATAGACGCTTATGATGTGCTCTGTCAGCTCATTTCATCCCCATTTGACCCTACGAGGAAGGTACGATTGTTGTTAGTACCCTCATTTTACAGATGAGGGAAGTGAGGTACAGTGAGGTTCTAGATCTTGACCAAGACTGCACAGCTTCTGAGTGGTAGAGGCTGACTCTGGATTCTGTGCTTGGGACCACTTGACCATGCTGATGGGCCCCTGGGGTGGCTTTGCCCCAGCCTCCTGCAAACCTGGCCCCCGTCAGAGCCATCATCCTTGGCGAAGGGGTAGAAGGAACAGGAAGGATGCTGGCTGGTGGTGGGCCGAGGCCAATGCACTAACCTGCTGCTCTCCTACCCCCATCTCTTCCAGGCCTCGCTGGTCCTGCAGGTGTCCTACACGCCACTCCCTGGAGCCGTGCCCCTGTTCCCACCCTCTGCGTCTCTGGAACCCTCCCCGACTCTGCCTGACGTGGATATGGTGGCTGGTGAGGAGCCCACCCTGACAGGGCCCCTGGGAAGAAGCCCCACAGCAGTGGTGGAGCCTGGGGGTGGGAGGCCAGAGTGAAGCTTCAGCCAGCCTCTGCAGCCTTCCCCAAGTCGGGGGCAGCCCAGGTCCAGAGACGAGAGGACACCAGCGGGTGGGGAGTCCTGCGAGCTACCTTCTGCCACGCAGAGAAAGTGCCACTGGGATTAGTGTGAGGAAGGCCTCCTGGGGAGGGGCTGTGCCTGGGCAGCTCTCAGCTGGGTGGGAGCTTCGGAGGGCGTGCCTGTGCTGGGATGGGGTCTGCCCCAGATGATACCCGGGGCCGCACCCGCTCCCCAGAGGTGAATGCTTCCCTGCTCTGGAACTTCATAGGCCTTTGGCGATGGCGTCGTAATGACAGAGCTGGGGTTTCCTTGAAAGAGCCCTGGGCCGATGTCAGGGGACATGAGTTCCTTTCTTGACTTTGGCACCAAGTAGCTGTGTGACTTTGGGCTGGCCACTCTCCCTCTCTGGGCCTACGGTTTATCATTTGTGAAACGAGCAGAGTTGGCAAGTTCCGAGGTTGCCTCAGGTCTCTTCACTTGCCTCTGTGGGCCTTGTCACAGGAGGATCCAGCCCAGGGTGCTTGGCTTGCCCTCGCGGGGCTGGTGAGGCCTCCATGTGGCCCAGCCTGCTGGAATGTGCAGGAAGCTACACCGATGGGCCAGGTGGGGACTTGGCCATGGGAAAGAGCCTGCAGTTTCTCTCCTGGTGAAGGGAGCTCGAGGCAAACACGGCATTAAAACCCAAGCTCTGGTGGGGGTGTGCCCTAGGCCTGTCCTGCCCAGGCATGTTGTTGGAGCTCCACACCGTCTGAGCTTGGAGATAGGACATCAGTCCGGACTGGGGCATAGGGTGGGTGGTGGGCAGAAAGAAGGGGTGCTCCTGGTGACAGAGTGGGGAGGGTGAAGGGCTCGAGTGTTCTGGGACCACCTTGGAGGTGGGTCTGACAGAGTTAGGGTTCGGGCCACTCAGGGAAAGCTCCCAAAGGTGACAAATTTCCAGTCCTGCCTGGAAGGTGGTGAGAAGGGACAGTGTCCAGAAGACATGGGAGCTGTTTCTGAGCTTTGTGCCAGGCTAGAGCAGCCAGGGAGAGCGGGTTTGGGGTGGGGGTGCCCTAGGTTGGCTCCCCTCACCCAGCTCCCTCCTCACCTCCTGGGGCTGTGCCTTGCCCCTATGCCAGGTGGGGGACAGAGCCGGGCTGAGACTTGGTCCCTGCTCAGTGACAGCACCGTGGACACAAGATACTCTGGAAAGAAGTGGCTGGCCCCCACGGGTGAGACACGGGTCAGGCTATCCCGATCCTGATCCTACCACCCGTAACCGGCTCTTTGCTGCCATCTGTCAGCTCACCAGAGTGGGATGTGGGATGAGGTGGTCAGAGGGGCTGATCCTGCAGGACATGGTGGGGAGGGCTAGGGCCATTCAGTTTCCTTCCTGTTGACTAACTGGACTGACTGCCCTCCTGTCTCAGCTGTTGAAAGCTCTTCTTCTTTCTCCCTCAACCATCCTGGCTCACTGACAGGAGGGGAGGTGGGTGGTGGGTCTTCGTGCCCAAGCCCTTTGGCTCCTCCATTGGCTGGATGGGGTCAGAGGGACCAGCCCTTATTAGCACCCTCTCCGCCCAGACACAGGAGGAGAGGAGGACACCGAGGACCAGGGGCTCACGGGAGATGAGGCAGAGCCATTACTGGATCAGAGCGGTGCCCCAGGCCCCGGGGCCCCCACCACCCCGAAGAAGCCACCTTCCCATCCGCCCCCCTACCACCCTGGGAGCAAGAGGAAAAGAAGTGCTCCCACGACCAGAAAGCTGCTGTCGGACAAACCGCAGGACTTCCAGGTAATGGGCTGACTCTCTGACCACAGTCTCCTCTTTTCGATAATGTCTGTCCAGCCTGGGGCAGGTCCTAAGGGCTCTCCTAGGCAGGAGTCTCTGGTTTCCCCGGGTCCCTGGCAGGTGCGGAATGGGCAGTTCATGTGTTGTTGTGGCCTCAGAACACAGCCCCTGGTTTTGTTCTTTTAAAAAAGAGGGTGGGGAGCATTGCAGAGATTCAGCCTATCTTTACATTTGTTATGTGTTTTCCAACCAGGGTTCATCTGGCTAGCTAGCTTTTGGCTCCTCGTAGTGTGGTCCTTGGGCTGCAGCAGGGGCAGCAGGTGGAAGCCAGCCCTGCTGAATCAGAATCTGCATTTTAACAAGACCCCCAAACTAAGAAGCTCTGTCTAGTGCTCTGTTTTCTCTCTTGATCCATGCCCTTCCTTACAGCCATGGATTCTTCGGAAGGCCAAGCAGAATTTGAGCTTGTTCAAGCTCTTCACAGAATAAAACTATTAATATTAACTCTTGGGCATATTTAATTTTATTTATTTTTTAAAAACATTTATGTATTTATTTGAGAGAGAGTGTGCACACACACACACACACAAGCACGCACAAGCAGGGGGAGGGACAGAGGGAGAGGAGAGACAGAATCTCAAGCAGATGTCATGCTAAGCGTGGAGCTCAATTGGGGGCTCGATTGCACGACCCCGAGATCATGACCTGAGCCCAAACTGACAGTCAGATGCTTAGCCCACCCAGGTGCCCCAACCCTCTGGCATATTTTAATCCAAAAATCCACCCGATTTTATTGCATTTTAATTTTGGTCCTTTGCTTATTCTTTTTCTTTTGTATGAAATTTCCCATATTGATATAGTTACATTTAGTGATATTGAGCTCTCCAGAACTACTTTTAAAGTTAAAAACAGGAAACTTAGCTCTTTGTTAAGTGCAACAAATTGTAAAAATACATTTTACTTCTAAATCGTGGTAATTTAAGCAAAAGTACTACCTGTAACTGCTCTGTATTTTGCCTGAGAGACAAAATTCTGACATTATTATTATTTTTATTCCCAAGTCATGTACTTATTGCCTTTTTCTCCTTCGAAAATTAATGTGTGTTTATTGTAGAAAACTTAGAAAACACAGGAAAATGAAGAGAATAAAAATCATGGATCTACCTTCCCATTGTTATTAATAATATATTCTTCTATAGTACGGCTTAAAATCCAAAAGCATTGGTCGATCCAATGATAAATAACTGCTGATTAAAACTCAAAACAAGTAAACATCTTATTTTTCCATGAAAATTGTTCTAGTATTTTAAAACTTCATCTTTTCAAATATTTTGCCTAAATTTGGAAGCACAGATATTCCTGAAACCTTTCTTTACTTAAAATTCAACGGAGAAAACTCTTAAGTAACACAAGAAAATGTTGTGTCTTATAAAGAATAAAGTGGGGTCACTTCACTGTGTCAGCTCAGCCTCCGAGGGAGCTGTTAGTGAAGAACATTCAGGCCACTTAGCTGTGCCGGCGTAAGGGGTCTGAGGAAGGGCTGTGCCGACGGTTGTGTGAAATGAGCTGGGGTCCGGGTCCTCGGCCCAGCCCTGGAATTTAGTGCTGGGAGCTTTCTTGGGGCAGCTTGGCAGCTCTTGTGCAGAACTATGGGATTTTATAGATGCAAGGGACCTTGGCGGGAAAATACGACTGTTCTTATAATGCTCTTCCTGATACCTTTTTAATACCATTGCCAAGAAGCCAGCAGTGAGAACGATCCCTGAGATTTCTGACTCTCTTGGGGCCTGACTACTTCGGCCTTCCTCCCGCTCATGCCTCCTCTTGGCTTTCAGATCAGGGTGCAAGTGATCGAGGGTCGCCAGCTGCCAGGGGTGAATATCAAGCCTGTGGTCAAGGTCACGGCTGCCGGGCAGACCAAGAGGACACGGATCCACAAGGGAAACAGCCCACTCTTCAACGAGGTGGGAGATGCTGGATATCAGGATGAGAACCACAGGGGCCCTTCCGAATTGGGAATGCACAGCAGACACCTGACAATCCATTTGGTTTTTGTATCGAGAGATATGCCAGGTCCCCAGTAGGGTATCCGATGAACTGGAGGGAGGGTTCTAGCTCTTATTCCCGCCTTGGGCTCCCAATGCTCCACGTCTCTGACACGCTGTAGGGCCGGCCCCCCGCCCTGTCCCTGAGATGACAACCTCTATGAGGGCAAGGGTGGGATACCCCAGAACTTGTGGAATCCCCAGAGCTCGTTGTTCAGCTGAGCTCAGTCCACACTTCTGGGTGGACCAGACCTGAAGGCTGTGGGCAGCGGCCGACCCTCTCCTCAGCCCCCGGGGTCGGCAGGCACTCATTTGTTTTCCTTTTGCCCTGAACCTCAGACTCTCTTCTTCAATGTGTTTGACTCTCCCTCGGAGCTGTTTGACGAGCCCATCTTTATCACGGTACGTCTCAGCAATCAGTGTTTCTCTGTGGGTTACGTGTACACTCGCGGGCACACCACCGTGCACGTGTGTATGTGTGTGTATCAGCGTGCATGTGTGTGCGTGCCTGTTGGTGTGAGTGTGAGCTAGTGTGAGGAAGAAGCATGCGGCCCAGGGCACGGGTGAGGGGAGCGGCTCATCGCCAAGCTCTGCTGGTCACAGAAATGGCATCGGCAGCTCAGATGGAGGCAACAGCCGAGTGGGGAACCCCCACTGCCCAGCACCCCCACTGCCCAGCACCCCCACAGGGGCGGCAGGTCAGGGTTCTGATATCATTCTCGCAGTGGACCCTGATTCTCATTTTATTTTGTTTGCCCATGTGCCTGTTTCTGGCCAGAATCTTCTTTCTTTGGGTCTCAGCTCTTTTTTTTTTTTTTTTCCTTTTTTTGGGGCTTTCTTCTGAAAGGCAGTGTAGTTTAGTTGTTGAAGGTGTGGGCTCTGGAACCACCGTCGGGGCTCTGGTCCTGACTCTGCCGTTTAGGGGTTGTGTGATGCTCTACAAGTCCTGTAGTCTCTCTGTGCCTCTGTTCCTTCATCTGTAAAATGGGCATAATAATAATACCTACTCAGGGGGTTCACGTGAGTGTTAAACATTGCTCAGAACAGTCTCTGGAACAGAGCAAGTGCTCTACGTAATTGGCTGTTACTGTTTGGGAGGGAAGAGCTGTTGTGTTGGGTCCTGTCTGAGCCAACGTTTACTTGTAAATAAGAGTTTTAATTTATCTCTGCCCCCCCCCCCCCAGGTGGTAGATTCCCGTTCTCTCCGGACAGATGCTCTCATTGGGGAATTCCAGGTAATTATGTATTTTCTTTGAAAGCAGTTAGTTGTCACTAGTTCACGTTAGTGGAGGCTCTGTACGTAATGTGCAGAGGCTGGTGCCTCAGGGGTCCTGTTCCTCTCAGTCTGTGTTGGGGAAATACAGTTAAAAAAAAAAAAAAAGACAAGACAAAATCTTCTCCAAACTCAGAAATCCTCTCCACAAAGGTCGTAGAGAAACAATAGACTTTTATTATTGAATAAGTATCAATCCAGAAGGTGATGCACATGACAGGCAATCCACTAGGAGATGGTAAAGGCAGCAAGAAATCCTTTACAACGCTGAGCAGATACAACCCATCCGGTACTTGTTCTCAGCATAACTAGTCCTCAAGGCAGACGACTGACAGTGCCCTCGGCCACACACAGTTCATCCTCACCACCTGGTAATTGGGTTGACCATCTGCGTTAGCTAATTGACTTTCTTCAGAGGAAAAAACACAGAAAAACTTGCATTTTTGTGATGAAAGTTGTTTTACAACTTGGACCCAGGCCTGTGTCGAAAGCAGGCCCCTCCCTTCCCACAGAAAAAGTGGAGAAAATACTTATATTTACAAGGTTTCTAAGGTAAATTATCTGACAGAAAGGGCGGAGAGGGAAATCTCTTCCCTTATGTCCAACAGGAGGATTTCGGATTCTTGCTTCTGATTCATATTTGTCTTTACATCTGGGAAGGAAGCTTGAAATTGGTGGTTAGACGGCCTTCCTCCTGATTTTGACTTGGGCCAATGTGACACCAGTGTTCTGTGCCCCGTGTGCACCCTCGCTCCGGCTTGGGAGCGGGGTCCAGATGTGGAGTCCAGTGGGAACAGGGTGGGACACAGGAGAGATGGGGGAGCCTGCCCCCCCACCCCATTTGTCCCAGACAGTGCAGAAGTGAGGAGTGTACTGCAGAGAACCAAGGACTGACTAGGACTCAGCTCACAGGGAGGCATCAACAGGTCTCAGAAAGCAAAGGCAGCTAGCAATGGAGACCTTCACCAATGGTGTTTTAAGGCAATTCTCACTGATTTTCTCATTTTCGAATCTTCAGGCGTTTATCAAATGGAAAGAAGGCGTACAGACTTATTTTAACTTCCCCTTGCTGTCCAAATAAAATATGGCCTCTTCTCTGGGAAGTAGTCACAAGATAGAAAATGAAGTCAATTTTCCTGGAGAAGGCAGTTTTAAAAAGAACAGTATCGAACCTGGGTCATTCTGTAATAAATGGGGTTCTATGTCCTGAGTCTCTAATCTTTGAAGCATATTCTTGGTCTGAGAACCCAGAGTTTAAGGTAAACAAGTATTTTCTTTTTTTTCTAATTATAAAAGTAATCCATGATCAAAAAACATTTTTAGAGCAGTTTTAGGTTCATAGCCAACTAGAGAGCAAAGTACAGAGTTCTCATGTCCCTCCGGCTGCCCCCATGCACAGCCTGCCCGACCATCAGTGTCCCTCTGATCTATGAATTTTTATAGAAAATTATAAAATATAGGAAAGGAAAAAATAAAAAAATAAAATAAATCTACCACCTAAATCTACCAGCCAGAGACAGCACAGTTACCATGTTGTTGTGTTTCTTTTGCTTTCTTTCCTGTGCATGGATAAACCTTACCAAACTTTGATCAACATGTATTCTGCTCTTTTTTCCATGTAATGTCAGCTGATGAACATTTCCCTATGTCCCCAAATGATCTTCAAAGCATGATTTTTAATGTGATGGCATAATGTACCATATTTCACTTAATGCTCCAAGGGCAAGAGTTTGACTTGTGTTTCTTGGTTTGGTTTCAGATGGATGTGGGTACCATCTACAGAGAGCCCCGTGAGTCACGTCCTCAACACCTTGACCATATCTTTGCATTTTGGTTCTGGAGGCTGTTGGGGACAGCCATTTGGGACAATCACCTTTTTTCCTTGGGGGTTTTAGAATTTAGAGGTAGAGTCTGATTGTGGAGATGATTGCTGCAGGAATGAAGAGAAGGCTGGCTTCCATCTTCCAAGTAAACCAGGCCCTCAGGGAGATCAAACCTTCATGTGGGTCTTGGCTGGCCCAGTCAGGGATGCTAAATCTGGAAGGCCCCAAGCAAGGGTTGTTGGAGACGAGGTCCCCTCTGACAGGGGCGGGCCATTTTGATAACAAGTCTAGGATTTCTCCACACCTTGGCTTCTGTTCTGGTCTGGTCACTTTTTGAGAGGGAGGCACATGGCCTGGGGTCTGTCTTTGGCAGTCTCTTCTAGGTGTTTCGGTTGACATTCTGACTTAGACCCACATGAATACTCAAAGTCTGGCCCCCCTGTCCCTGTGAATAAATCTCTCACCCAAATGTCGGCCCCAGGCTCCTGGTTGCAGACTTGGGTCCTTCCAGTTCTGCCATCACTTATGGATGTTGTCTCTCTTAGGACATGCCTATCTGAGGAAGTGGTTGCTCCTCTCGGACCCTGATGATTTCTCTGCTGGGGCCAGAGGTTACCTGAAAGCAAGCCTCTGTGTGCTGGGGCCTGGAGATGAAGCGCCCGTGAGTATAGTAAAAACACAACTGTAGTTTTTCTGATTTTAAAAAACACATGATAAGTATAAGAAATGAGGAACATGAGCAAAAGTATTAATAAAAAGTGAATCACTCATAATTCTACCACTCAGAGACAGCTGTGATTCAGATCTTGTTGCATATCCTCCCAGAAGGATGTACATGTGCATTTTTCTATTTTTTTAAAAAAATATTTATTTATTTTAGAGAGGAAGAGAGAGCACACACGAGTGGGAGGGGCAGAGGGAAGGGAGAGAGGGTCTCATGTAGACTCGGCGTGAGCATGGAACCCGATGCAGGGTTCGATCTCAAAACCCTGAGATCACGACCTGAGCCAAAACCAAGAGTCAGACTCATAACCACCTGAGCCACCCAGGCGCCCCATCTATTTTTTTTATTGCTTTTTAAAATTGAGATGTAATTGACATATAACATTATATTAGTTTCAGGCATACAACATAACGATTCGTTATTTGTATACATTGTGAAATGATCATCACAGTAAGTCTAGTTAACATCCATCACCCTATGTAGTTTCAAACGTTTAAGATCTCTTCTCTCAGTAACTTTCAAACATGCAATAGAGTATTATTAACTTGAGTCTCCGTGCTGTGCATTACATCCTCATGACTTACTTATCTGATAACCGGAAGTTTGTACATGTTGACCCCTTTCCTCCACCTCCCTCTCCCCCACCTCTGGCAACCACCGATCTGTTGTATATTTTTCTTTTTTTGCAAAAGTGAGATCATTCTCTATATTCTACTCCAACCTGAATTTTATCACCTGAGAAAATACTATTATCATCTTTACACACCAGTAAGTCAAGTTCAAGTTGGAGATGGGAAGAATGAGAAAGACGTGCAGACATGGGGAGGTATCAGCGTCTTTGTTGGGAATAGCCGTGGGAGAGGAATGAAGGGTTAATTCCAGGTGAGCGGAAGGATTTCTGAGCAGACGAAAGAGCGCCTACTCTGGGTTGGCAGCTTTGTGGTAGAGTCTCATTATACTCAGTGGCAGACTGGTGGATGGCAGAGGCGTTGGGCATGGGGAGGGCAGGACTAGCGGAAGCACAGGGCTGAGGTAGCCTGGGCATCGGGACATGGCTGGTGGTGCTGGGTGGGGAGGGTGTGAGAGTGCAAGGCTTAGAGCTGGTGAAGGGGATGGAGAATAGGGAACGCACATTTATTGAGCTCCTGCTGTGTGCCAGGCTGTGTTGGGAGCCCCACTCTGTGTGAGTGGGAGGTTGGAGGAGGCAGATAGATTGCAAGCTGTCTTTGGAGAAGGGTTTCAGTGGTCAAGGTTTTGCTAGAGGAATGGTTCTGAGTGGCTGGAGGTTCCAGATGTGGCCATGCTTCTAGCAGCTGAAGGGGAGGGGAGATTAAGGAGCTGCTGGTGGAGGAAGGGAACCGTGTTGGCGAATGACCACATGGATGTTGATTATCTTATGGGAGAATTGGAAATCAAATAGGCAAGTGGTGAGGCAGGTGCTGAAGTCATGAAGGAAAGGTGAGCACGTGTCCTTGGCTTGGTGGATGGTATCAGTGAGAACCAGGGGAGAGAGTGGCACATATGGGTGATGGGGACTTCCAGATAAAAGACATGGTGGAGTGATGGTGGGTGCAGGTGCAAAGTGTGGCCTTCTCTTCCCAGCCTGGGATGGCCAGGAGGAGAGGGAGAAGCAAAAGTAGGGAAACTGGGGAAAAGAGCAGTGGGAGGTGGAGGGCAAGTTCCACGATGGTGTCAGGAATAGGAGTTGGCTGATGACAAGGGCTCAGGAAGCCACAGTGGAGAGGGTTAGGGGATGGAGAGCCCAGGGTTCTGTGTTATGCAGTGGGCTGATGGAGCTCCAGTGGATAAGCCACACCCAAAGGCACCTGTCCCTCTCTCTCATCCCGTGTAGTCCTGTCCTGTCCTTATGTAGCATGTCTTTCCAGACATGGCGCCATCTTGCTCCTTCTCGTGGCATCTCTGGGTCTATTACCCTTTTCTAAAACATTTCTTCCTCTTCTTTCTCTTAATTGGAACATTGCTTTTTCCTGATGAAGCCACTTCTTTTGAAACCAACTGAGACAGAAGCCCCTACTTTCTTCCCCGACTCCCCGTGGGTTCTGGAATGGGAGGAGCAGTTTCCCACTGCAGGTTTCCCACTGCAGCCTCCCGGCCATCAGCTCTTCCCAACTTCAGCGCCGCCTCCTTTAAAGGCTGCTTTGCTGGTTGTTTCTCCCTCTTCTGGGCTGTTGTTACCTACCCCTGCCTCAGGTGGAGCTGGTCCAGGGGCATCCCTGCTTGCAGATTCTGATCTTTGCCATTGTCTTGAGATGTGACACATCAGCCACTGACATCTGATTTCATTTCTTTTGAGACCCTGAGCTCAGAAATCCCTCTTTCTACCACTCTCTGCCTTTTTCCTCCCTCACCCCTGCTGAATGACAGTCCTTCCTCCCTGGCGTTACAGGCCCCCCTCCCACACCCCGTTGGTTTTCCCAATCCAGTAGTGCCTTCCTGCCATCCTCTCCCTCCTCCAGCCTAGACCCCATCCTCCATCACAGCTCTCACCATGTGCTTACTGGTTCCATAGCAGGCGTCTCCTGCCACACCTCATAACCCCACCACCCGCCACTGTCTACACTACTTCTTGGTCAGTTTCGGAGGCAGGAGTCACCTGGAGGTGCTGGCTAGATGAACATGGGTGCTATCAACCTCTTCTTTTACTTGGGTGTGGTTTACTCCTTTTCCAATTTGCCACAGTGGCTGTTTCCAGACTTTGCTGTCTTTCCTAAGCCTCAACCTCCACCTCCTGAGAGAGGCAGAGCTGCACAATGGTGAACGATGTGAGCTCCTGAAGTTCCTTTGGTCCTCATTCCTGACTTCATCTGTCTTCCCTCCCTTCCCCGTCTTCCTGCCTCCTTTGCCTTGTGCTCCAGTCCTCCGCCATCTTGTTCTCCCTGTTCTTCCTGGTGTCTTCTCTTCTGCCCTTCGATTTGTACCAGGCTCAAGATTTCCCTACCTTCAAATACCCTCACCCACTTCACTCATTTCTCCCCACCCGTCTTCTCCAAGCTGCTTGCAGCTTGCTTCCAGGCATGACCAGCTTCATCAGGGAGCACATTGGGTTGCCCTTCTCTACTCCTCTACTGGCTGCTCATTCCTCCTCCTCTTCATGAGGATTCCTGCCACCTTCCTTCCCTGAAACCATGTGCTGGAGGGTCATCATTGCCAACTTCCAGGGGCTCTTCTCTCCTCTCAATCCTCTCTGTTCCTCCACAGCTTTTGATTCCAGAGCCCATGGCTTATTTGAAACTCTCTTCTCCCTTAGCATTGGTGAGTCTCCTGATTCTTTCTTTTTTTAAAAAAAAATATGGATCCTTCAAATTCAGTGGCTCAATAAAATTCCCTTGCTTGCCTTTGTGCTGCGTCCTTGACCCTCACTTTCGAGGAGCCCATCTCTGTCCACTTGAGACTCCTAAATTGCTCATCTCCAGCTTGGATTGTCAGGGCTCCAGACACTCAGTTTCAGTTGCTTTGTAATAAAGCCACATTAACATATCCCTTAGGCCCCTCTAACTTAACATATGAAAACCTAGGATCATCCGCTGCCCACTCCTCACAGCTGCTCCCATCTTGTGGCAGGTGACATCTTAGGAAAAGACACTGTCATCTGCTCAGTCTCCCGAGCAAGAGGCCTAATTTCATTCCTCATCCTTCAGTCCCACATCTGTCAGTCCACTGACTGACAAGGTTGGTCAGTCTTGTTGGCATGACCACCTCAGAGCATGCTTCTCGCTCCCATCCCAAGATCAGAGCCCGAGGTCACGGTCCCCTCACATCTCCCCTGGGCCCCTGTGTGAATTAAGATATAGGTTCAGCTGCTATAACAAAGATGCCCTGAATAATAAGCATTAAGGAGGATAGAAGTATATTTCTCTCCCTCATAAATCCCTGGGGAGGCAGTCCAGAGCCCGCATGGTGCTCCCACAATGACCAGAGACCTAGGCTCCTGGTCTTCGCCCCTCTGTCTTCATCATGCGGCTTCCATCTCATGGTTCAAGATGGTTGTTGCCGTAACTACCTTCGGGTCTGTATTCCAGTCAGTGGAATGGCAGAATAGGAGCTTGCTTAAAGGTGGGCTTTCGCTGTGAGACGGTGAGCTCTGTGGGGGCAGGACGTCTGTCTACCTTGTTCACTGCTGCATCCCTCCCCCTTCAGCACAACCCAGTCATCACTCACTGACACTGAATACTTGTTGAGTGAATGAACACATGTTATTGAAGACATGTCACTTCTGCACTCTTGTTAATGGGGGGAGCAGGGAGGAGATCAGGATTCTTGAATGCCCACCATATGCTTTTGTACATTATTGAAGTTGATTTGCCCAGCAGTCTGCAAGGCTGGTGTTACTCGTTCTACTGTCCAGGTCAGGAAGCAGAGTCTCAGGGAGAGGAACCTGCCTGAGGTCACACGTTAGTAAGCAGCAGGGCGAGATCTACCTTTCTTCAAAATGCACCATTTAAGGGGTGTTGGTTGAAGAAGAGAAGATATTGTGCTAATGAACTCTTTAAGGCATCATATTTGGTTGCATTGTAGCTGGAGAGAAAGGACCCCTCTGAAGACAAGGAGGACATTGAAAACAATCTGCTCAGGCCAACTGGAGTGGCACTTCGGGGAGCCCACTTCTGCCTGAAGGTCTTCAGAGCTGAGGACCTACCGCAGAGTGAGTCTGGTGTCCTCCCTGGGTTGGAGGCCCAAGATTGAGCTTGGGAGCGGGGCCCCTGGGCTGGGGAAGAAGTCACTAGATGGTGGAAGGGCTCAGTGTCTCCACAGATGAAAAACATCCATCCGCTTGGTGAGCCATCATGCCAGTTTGCCTGGGACTGTCCCGGTTTCAGCACCACAAGCACCCCCATCCTGGGAGACCCCTCCGTCCCTGACCAACTGGGGCAGTGGGTCACTCTTGCTGTGGCTATGTCCTCATTTTCCCAAGAGAGACAGGGTGGCCCCTGCCTGGTTTCTCCCAGTGACTGGCCCTGCACTGGCCCCATCCTGTGGGTTCAGTAAATGCTGGGGGAATTATGCTGAATATTTTAGAGCCGTGGGTCTCAATCCAGTCTGCACATTAGAACCACCTGGGGACCTTTAAAGGTGTACAGATGCTGGGGTCCCTCCCCCAGTGTTTCACATTTGACTGAGTTTGGAGTAGGGCTCATACACGTTTCTAAAGGCTGAGCCCCTGTTTTGAAGCATGTATCAGCTTAATCAAGTGTTTCTGTTCATAGCAGAGTAAGTGAGAGCGTTTGCAACTTAGGTCCCTGTTTATAAGTTTTGCATAAGGCTAATTATTTGAGGTTTTGCTCACCCCTTTGACTAATGACTCAAAAGAAATACCTTCCTTCTGTACAAGCGTAATTGTACCCAAACCATGGCGGAAAACTCTTGAGAAAGTAATGGTTATTAAATGCACATTAAAATACATGCTTAATAACATTCTTCATTTATTGGTTGAAACTATGCAGAAGGGAGGCTGGTGAGCTCCCATAGGGGGCTGGGGAAATAGAAATGTTTGCTTTGTTCAAGGTGAATGTGCTTGATATTTAATTCTCTACAATCTTGTTTAAATATAAATGAAATAGGTGGGTAAATAGGACATAAATATTTGCTAATTGTTGTTATCTTTGTATTTATGTAGACAGCAGCTGGTATATAACCTGTAACTGTTCCCTCCTCTCATTCATATACACATAGATATCTATACATGCCATGAATACACATATGCACATATCCATCTATCTGTATATACATTTATACATAATATGACTAATTCAGTAAGATATTCATGGAGCAGCATAGACAAAAATTCTTTTTTTTAAAAAAGATTTTATTTATTCATTTGACAGAGAGAGAGAGCATAAGCAGGGGGACTGGGAGAGGGAGAAGCAGGCTCCCTGCTGGACAGGGAGCCCAATGCAGGGCTGGATCCCAGGACTCTGGGATCATGACCTGAGCCAAAGGCAGACGTTTAACTGAGTCATCCAGCTGCCCCTAAAAATTAAAACAAAACAAAACAAAACAAAACAAAACAAGTGGAGGGGAGTGGGAGGGATGGGGTGGCTGGGTGATGGACATTGGGGAGGGTATGTACTATGGTGAGCGCTGTGAATTGTGTAAGACTGATGAATCACAGACCTGGGTCCCTGAAACAAATAATACATTATATGTTAATAAAAAAATTAAAAAAATTTTTTTCTCAGGGCACCTGGCTGGCTTAGTCAGTAGAGCATGTGACTCTTGATCTTAGGGTTGTGAGTTCGAGTCCCATGTTGGGTGTGGAGATTGCTTAAAAATAGAATATTTAAAAAATATATATATATACTTTTTCCTCAAAGTTTCTCATTTTATTTTTGACTTATCTTGGGATTTTAATGAATGTACTAACTGTAACTGACATCCTACATATATATATATATTATTTTATTTTTTTAAAAATTTTTTTAAGTAAGCTCTATGAGTCATGTGCCCTACTGACTGACCCAGCCAGGTGTCCCCAAACCTATATATTTTACATTTATGTAAAATGCCACCTTAAATGCAACACAAAAGAACTGTAAAATCATATTTAAAAGCCAAATCAAAATTTATATCATAATATTTTTTACTCTAATATTATACATCTGGGATATATTGGACTATTGTTTTTTTTTCCTAGATTTCCAAATATCTAATCCTAATATATATATTTTTTGTAGAAAAACAAAACAAAACAAAACAAAACCCCAAACAAACCAGAATTGACTTATTGGTTCACATCAGGTCAATCACTGTGCTAATGGACATAAAGGAAATGTCAAATGGGCATCAATAATGGGATATTATTATAACACCTTCCAGTTCTTTTCTGGATTGTTAACTGCCCTTAGTGATGTAGATTGCTAATCAAATCCATCAATCCATCAGTCATCTGGTGGATCTGTTCCGAAACCCATTGAGAGCAGGGGTCAGTGAACAAAGCTGTTTGGGCAGGGTAAAGGAGCAGGGCATGCCCTCAGGGGCTCTGTTCTGGGAGTCCCCAGGCTGAGGGGATGCCACAACGTCTCTCTCAGGGAGTCCTAAGACTCTCTGGAGACAGGTAGGTGGAAAGTGAGGTTTTGGAGGTTGGACAGCAGGTAAGCACTGACCAGTGTGTTCTCCCTAGTGGATGATGCCGTGATGGACAATGTGAAGCAGATCTTTGGCTTTGACAGTAACAAGAAGAACTTGGTGGATCCCTTCATGGAAGTCAGCTTTGCGGGGAAAATGGTAAGGAGTAAGGAAGCAGGAGGATTCTCTGAGGAGGGTGACTGCTGGGTGTCCCCGTGGATGGGTGCTGAGCAGAGTAAAGGACAATATGAGGCGCACACAGGCAGCCCTTGGTGCGGCCTATCAGAAGGTGCACCTGGAGTGGGGCCTGATTGGGGGACGCATGGTGAGACACTCACCCAGGCCTGGCTCTTCGGATGTGCTTGGGGTATCTGGGACAGACACATAGGTGAGAGACACAGGGAGGACAGACAGTGGATAGAAAGAAGAGTGTTTGGGGGAAAATTAAGCACTAGCGTGAAAACCAGATGTGAAGGCATAAAGATAGGGAAACTTAAAAAAAGCGATAGAAACATAATGATTATTTTTAAAAAGTTGTGGCAGGAATTGAGTGGAGAAAGTCCACTCCGTGGGAGCCCTGGGGATGACTCATACCTCTCTTCCTTGCAGCCCGCCTTTCTGCCCAGAGGGAGGGCTGTTGCTGTGGCTTCTGTGGGCCCCCTCCCTCCAGCCCCCCAGGCAGGCAGGCCCTCCCCAGCCTCCTCTGCCTGCCCAACAGGCTCTCCTTGGCTTCAGGCTTCAGCCTTACCTCTCTGCAGAGGACTCCCACAGCTGTTTCACTCCGAACCCCCTTCAGCCCCAGACCTCCCCCCGCCTCCGCACATCTCTGTCTGCTGTCCCTTGGGTCCTGTAGAAGACTCATCTGCCCCACCTGCCCCACTTCCAGGAGCCTCCATCCTAACCAGGTGCCACAGTCAAAGGCAGAAAACGTGGGCCTGCCTCGATTCTTCCCACTCTTTTGACCTCCTTACATCAAACATGCCACCCCTGCTTTTGATTTCAAACATGTCTCAAGGCCTCCCCTCCCCTCCGCCCACTGTCATCTCTTCCCAAGACCACACAGCAGCCTTGGGTTCATTCTCTTCTCTGGGTTGTCCCCATAAAAGGCCCCAGAATAATTAGCTTAAAACAACTCTGTACAGTGAAGTTCAAACCGCATAATCCGGCCGAAGTCAGCTCTTACCGAATTTGTGCGAGTGAGAAAATGGCGCCCCCTGCCGGGAACACGCAGCTCTGCAGCCCCGGCTTGGAGCGCTGGGTTGGGCGGGGTTTCAGCCGCGGGGGCTCCCTCCCCGCACCCCTGTGTGCGTACAAACTGCACAGCTCACAGGGCGGCCTTGTGTCCTCTCGTCTGCCCTGCCTCTTCCTTCCCTTCGCGGTCACCCCTCCGGCCTTTGCCCGTGCCTGTGCCCTTCCTGCCCCCTCCGCGAAAAGTCCAGCATCGTTCGGCGTCCGGCTTGCCTCCCCCCTCGGGTCTGAGGCACTAGTGCAGTTCTCGGCGCTCCACCGTGCCCTAGGCCCTCTTTTAGCCGGTTTTCCATTCCATTCCGGTACTTGTTAGCATCTGTTTCTCCGACTTGTGGGCAAGAACCCCGTCTTAGTTAGTCCATAACCTCAAAGCAGAGACTGTGGTGGAAATGGTGGGAAAATGACAGATCAGGTGGGCGCAGACTGCCTCCCGCTCTTCCCGCCGCTCCCAGAACCCCCCCGGGGGTGCCTCTGAGATGTGTCTGACCGCAGGGAGTTGCCAAAGGTGGGATCAGGGCCCTCTGAGGTTGTGCCAACCTTGCGGAGAGTGCCACCTGCCACAGAACCAGGGCTGGGAGAGTTGAGTCAGATGGCTTGGAGGTTGACAGGAAAATTGGAACTGGTCAGGGCAGAAGGGCTGAGAATCTGAGCTGGGTGGCTGGAGGGTGGGCACCCCAGGCCGGCTCCCCCTTCGCTCCCCCACAGGTGTTACAGGACAATTGGAGAGAAGTTTTAAAAATTTGCAATAAACACTAAAAGCTGAGGGTGTGATGGAGGTGGTGTGGGTTCCCATTCATATAGCACTTTGCAATTTTCCTTTCACCTAATCTTTTCTTAGATTCATTTTGAAAAGGAGGGGCGTCTACCAGCCCATCCCACCAACAGAGGCAGGCCCTGAGGTGGGGGTGGGGTGGGGTGGGGGAGAGCGGGGTGTCCTCTCTGATGCCCAGACTCACTCCCCACCTTTTGTTTTTTTTTGCTTCTTTTATTACTGATGAACATGTTTACTAATCCATTTTGAAAATTACAGAAAAAAGTAAATAAAATTACCCATAATGCATCATACCAAGTTTGTTTTTTGGTGCCATTCTTTCCAGTTTTTCCCCTATGTATAGATAATAGACATTTTTTGTGACTCTTCATTTTGAATATTTTAAAATATCAAGAAAAGTTAGCGGAGTTTTTCAATGAACACCCCACCCACTGGAATGACCTCCACTTAGATGAAGTGCAACTGCTAACGTTTTATTGCATTTACTTTCTGTATATAGATACTTTTTTTTCCTGCCTGAATCGTTTGAAACCTAGTTGCAGACTTTATTCCTAAAGGCTTCAGCACAGATCCCAAGAAGAAGAAAATTCTTTGTAACTACAGTAACATTATCACATCTATGCGATTAACAGTCATTCCCTAATGTTAGCAGATTCTGGCTCATATAAATTTTCTCTGATTATCCCCAAAATGTCCTTTGGAGATGGCTTAATTTTGTGCTGATCTAAGACCCAACTAGAATTCATGCTGTGCATTTGGTCCTTATGCCTCTTTAGTCTCTTCTGTAACAGCCCCTCCTGACCTTCCCCACCCACCCCAACAATTATTCTCACCCCTTGACTTTTGAAGAGCCCAGACCATTTGTCCACGTTCTGGATTTGTTGGGTTGTTTCCTTCTGGTGTTGTTTACCTTGCTTCTCTGGCCCCCGCATTTCCTATAAACTGGAAATTAGTTCTCGAGATTAGATTCCCTTCAGATTCAGTATTTCAGCAAGAATGTGTCATAGGTGATGTTGTGTGCGCCATATTGCATCACAACAGGAAACAGAGTGAGATTGTCCCATCACTGGTGATGACTATCTGATCATTTGCTTAAGATGGTGTCTCCAGATCTCTCTCTGGTCAAACTACATGCTCCCTTTTGTACTTTGCAAGTCATCTGTGGGTGATATCTTGGCACTGTGTGTATATCCTGTTATATACACTGCGTGTATATCAGCAACTTCTTACCTAATGATCTATGCAGCCATTGACCTCCTTGCCTGAATAAGTCATTTACTTGGGATTGCAAAGTGGTGATTTTCTCATTATCATTCCTTCTGTCTTCATAAGTTGGTGTTTTTCTGGAAAGAAGAGCTTTCCTCTCCCTTAGTGCCTTTGACTATTACTATGGAACTCAATACTTTTTATTAATTCTGTGTGTTAAAAATCAGTCATTACTGTGTTGGATGTATGAACTGTCCTGACATTGGCCATTGGGAGCCCCTTCAAGCTGGCTCCTCCCTCCCAAGCCTAATGCAGGGTCTCAGTGAAAATGTATGTGGTAGAGGTAACTTGGATCTTAAACTCTCTCACATTGAGGTGTAAATGCTCACTGTGGGTCCTCACCCAAGTGCAGGTCCTCACCCACATGTGAGGTCCTTACCCAAGTGCAGTGTTGGTTTGGGCTTGGGCTTGGGGTCTGGTGCCCCGTATCTAGCCTCAGGAGGGATTGTAACAGAAGGAATGAAGGCAAGAAGGACGTGGGAAGGTGTGGCTGGACAGGCTTATGGGACTCTTCTTCCAAAGATTGGGATTAATTTCCCAATTTGACAGGTAGGGAAAGTCATGTCTCAAGATTGTTTTCATTTTTTGTTTCACATTCCCCAAAATGGTAGGGTACTTTGATGGTGGGGAGAACCAACATGGACCTGCCTTCAAATTTAATGGCTTTTCTGGAAGCCGAGTCTCAGAGCTCCAGCGCTCCTGGCTGCTCCTGGGTCCTTGAAGGCACCTTGATCTCCCAAGGTCTTCTGTTCTGAGATGCCCTTGGCTGGCCTCAGGGGTTTTTCTAGGTAGGTCAAAATGTCTGTGGGAGGTGATGGAGTCAGGGGACCTGGCCAAAGCAAAGGACTATATAAAGCTGATTGGTGACTGGGCTTCTGCAAGAAGCTACACCCCCCTACTTTCCCTTCTGAAAGCTTCAGCCTGTTGGACTTCCCTGATGGTCCCCGGATCTTTGTGTCACCCTCTCTCTCCTCCAGCTACTCTTACTGCCTGTCTCATTTTGCCTGTCCCTTTCCCTCAGCCTGCCCGCGTGTCACTTTTTCTCATTATAACCTAATCTGGAGTCCTGGGGTTTTGTCCTCTGTGTTCCCATCCACGCTAGCCTGGCCCTCATTGCACTTCCTCCCATGGACACTTGGTGGCACTATTATCCAAGATGTGAACCATACCTGATTAAACACACACCCACCCACCCACCTTGGTGAGAAGGAAAGGAGAGGTACTTGGGGAGCAGGGTGAGAGACTTTGAAACAACTTTCTTTCTGAATGCAAGAAGGAAACCTATTAATTATAAAAAAAATAGAAAAAAGAGAAAATCAAGGAAAATAAAAAAAAACTAACCATATTTCTGTACCCCACATCACTCTGGAGATAACCACTGTTAACATTTGTGTATATTTCTTAGTAGTATGTTTTTCTCTCTACTGCTTTCATTCCCAACCCTCCCTTCTCCCCTACTGGAAAAAAAATTAGATTCAGATTAAGTTGGTTTTCATTATTCGTGGATTCCATATTTGCAAATTCACCTACTCGCTAAAATTTATTTGTAATCCTAAAATTAATGCCCATGGGGCTTTCATGATGATTTGCGGATTGTGCGGAATGACTGACACACGTTGCCACTGAGTTGGAACAGCGTGAGTCTGCCTTTTTGTTCCAGTTGTCATCCTGTAAAGAAGCGTCCTTTTCTTGGTCTACCTGGTGTCATGTTCGTCACATTTTGGTGCTTTTTATGTGATATTGCTGTTCAAAATGCCCCCCTAGAGGGTGCCAAAGGGCTGTCTGGTGTTTCTATGTGCAAAAAGGCTGGGATGTGCCTTAGGAGAAGATATGTTAGATAAGCTTCATTCAGGCATGAGTTATAGTGCTGCTAACCGAGAGTTCAGTGTTAATGAATCAACAGTATATATTAAATAAGATATCCTTGAATAGAAACACACATGACACAAGGTTATGTATTGATTAGTTGATGAAAATGTTGTGACAGAGACTGGTAGGAACCTAAACCTGAAATCTCCCCAGAGCAATGGTTTAATATTCAGGAATTCAGTGTTCTTGGTGATTTATAGAATGTGTAACTACCATCAAGAATCAACTGTACCTCTTCAGTTTGGTAAACTGTTTTTATAGGCCCATATTTTCATAGGTTATTGAGCAGCCTTTGAAATAAATTTTTGAGGTATAGCATGATGACTTGACTTACAGATTGCCAAATGATTATAAGTTTAGTTAACATTCATCATCTCATATAGATAAAAAAAGGAAGAAAAATGTTTTTTCCTTGTGATGAGAACTAGGAGCTACTGTCTTAACAGCTTCCAAATATACCATACATACTCTACCATATAGTCATCATGTGTACATTACATCCCAGGACTTCAATTAATAATATAACTTGGAAACTGTTTCCTATCCTAGAGCAGTCCTCATTCTTTTTAGAGCTGCATTGTGTGGCTGGACCATCATTTATTCAATCTGTCCTCCATTGGTGGACACGTGGGTTGTTCCATATCCTTGATAGTTCAAGCCACGCTGCAGTGAATAACCTTGTTACATGTCATTCTGCACATATGAGAGTATTTCTGTAGGATAAACGTCTAGAGGTGGAACTGGTGGGTCAAAGGGTTTTTGCATTTGCAATTTGGAGAGATAGTGGCCAGTTGCCGTCTGGAGGGTCGAGCTATTTTTTTCTCCCACCAGCAAAATATGAGCATGCAGTTTCACTCTAGTCTTGCCAGCAGAGGGCTGTCAAATTTTAGAGAATTTTATGAATCTGATGGGTGAGAAATGGTATCTTCGTTTTATTTGTGTTTCTTTTCTTATGAGGGAGGTTGAGCATCTTTTTATGTGCCTTCAACCCTTTGAATTTTCATTCACTCTCTGCCCATTGTCCCTCTCTTCTGTCCTTACTCCTTTCTTTGCTGGCACAAGGAGCAAATCCTGGCATCCTTCCTTGCCCCCAGCCTTTGCCTGGGCTCTTCTCACAGGGAGGTGAAGGGTGGGGACAGGGGCTGGCATTGGGTGGATCAGGGATGGAGACAAAGTCCTGGCCCCCCATGGAGGCTGCAACCTCATTTGATGGAGTAACTGAAGCCCCTGATCAGATGCTCATTAAATGAGATAATGCACATAAATGCTGAGCACAATGCAGGACTCATAGTACATGCTCTGAAAAAGGCTGCAGGACGTGCAAACCTACCATCTATGAATCTGAAATAGAGTCTTTACCTGCAGTTCCTGTGTGAGGGTACACGATGCCCTGGAGCTGGCTAAGGGGCATGGTTCCAAGCATAGGTAGGGCACACAAGCCACTGGTTTAGATCTAGTTTCCACCTCTGCTGGGTTTCTTGATTGTGGAAAGCCCAGTCTTAAGAGCAGGGCTGATCTGAGGCAGACTGTGGTTTATGGGGTTTGTATATTCACTGAATTCTCCTCTCATTCTCAGATGCTGGTGGCTGGCCCCCAAGCCCTGGCCCTCCCGCTACCATTTCCCTTTCTCCTTCCCCCACCTCTAATCTCCTAGGGCTCACAGTCTTCCAAAGGGGCAGGTGGTCTGGGCTGACTGGTAGAGGTTAGTGCCTCAGGCTGTAGGACCCCTGGGAAAGCCAGTCTGGACTCAGGGCCCCCACACTAAAGTTATGTCCATATGGGAGGTGAGGGGGGAGGATTTCCAGCCAGAGGTAGGAGATAAGCGTAGAAGGGCTGTGGAATTCAGGCAGTCTATCCGCCCCCCCCCCCCCACTCCCTTGCTACCCCACCCCATACCCTCCAGCTCTGGGTCTGATTTACCATTGACCTTTGTCTCTGCAATCCCCTGTGTCTGAGCCTTCAAGGCCCCCAGGCTCTTCTGCCCAGCCTGAAGGGTGGCCAACATGGCAGAGAACAGCCTCCAGCTGGTGAGGTGGTCCCCAAGGGAGTCCATAGTCCACTCCTGTCCACCTGTCCCTTGTGTCTTCTAGCTCTGCAGCAAGATCCTGGAGAAGACAGCCAACCCTCAGTGGAACCAGAGCATCACGCTGCCTGCCATGGTGAGCCTTGCCCCCTCGGGCCCATTCCAGGAGGCCCTGGGCTCCTGGCCTCCCCAGCATCCTGCCCATTTCCTGGGCTTCCCCTTCTTTGAAAAGACCCTACCCCAACATGTCTCTCTTCCCTCTTCAGTTTCCCTCCATGTGTGAAAAAATGAGGATTCGCGTCATGGACTGGTGAGTGCTGAGTCTCCGAGTCTTTGGAGGCGGCTATCTTCAGGGGTCACTGGGTTCTTCAGTTATCCTCAGTTCAGAGCATATAGTGGGAGAGTCTGTTTCAGGTGAGGGAGTATCCTCTGCTGGGAGGCCAGAGAAGGAGAGGGCATGGGCCGTTCTTGGGAAGCTTACTCACAGCCCTGCTCCAAGGCACAGGAGGGCCTCCAGCTGGGTACCTGAGATACCTTAGGGCGGGGGGTGCCAGGAAGGCTTCCTGGAGGAGGTGGGGTTTTGATAAGTCCAGGGTGAGGCCACTCCAGTGAGGAGAGGATCATAAGCAAAGGCAAAGAAGCTGGAAGGAGTAGAGCTTCTGGGAGAATGGGCTGTGATCCCCCCCACACCGCCCGCCCCTTGTGTTGCTAGCATGAAATGGTGTGGGACCACTGCAGGCTTGGAACAGGTGAGGGCAAGAGCCACATGGACATCTTAGAAAAGTGCTCTAACACTTGCTGAGCACCTACTGTGTGCCAGGCCCCGTGCCCGGCAAGTATTTCACATGCATGATGTCATGTGATCCTCAGCTCGACTCCTGGCTACTTTATAGATGAGGGAGTGATCTGTCTGAAGGGACAACTGGGAAGCAGCTGAGGCCAGGATCGAACCCAAGCCTGCTGCTCCCAGAGCCTGTGCTCTTCACCGCTGGGCTGTCCGCTTCCCACTACGTTAAGGTGTGTGATCTCTCTCACACCTGGAGGGCTGTTAGGGCTCCCACGCATGAGCTCTAGGACCTTCCATACATCAGGCTTTCCAAAAAGAGAGTTGTCCTTTCTCTGCCCCCAAAAAGTCTTGGCCTTGCGGTTCCCAGCGTGTTCTCCTTTGGTCTCTGGCCATGGCACCCCCAGCCAGGAGGGTAATGAGAGACCAGGGAAAACCCCCAGGCCACAGAGCCATTAAAGTGCGCGCCAGCTCCCCAGGCCGAGAGAAAACAGATTGTGGGAATTAGAGAGGAAAGCTGCAGCCAGGAGGGCCAGGAGGGAGAGGCCTCTAGGGCCCTGACCGCAGGTATGTTCCGTGGGCCAGTGGGCTGGGGGAGAGCCTGCGTCCCCAGAACCCCCTCTGCATCTCAGCTCTCGGGGTGTGTGTACCCCTGAGTGCGCCGTGTGGATGGGGGCTGATGGGCTGTCGGCGGGTCTGTGTCCGTGCGTGTGGGCTCCTGGGTGCTCACGTGCACACGGGGCTGGCTGCCTTGCGTGTGGCGGCTGGGCCTTGCCCGGGGCCGTGTGAGCTGTGTCAAAGGCATGAGCATACTGTACAATCCGAACACATTACGGAATCTGGTGGTTGCCTCTCTGGTTTGGGTTGAAGTGGCATTTTTATTGTGAGTCTATTTTCAGACTTGCTGCATTTTCCAAAAGCAACCCCAAGCCCCCAAACCCAACTCTTGGCCAAAAAAGCGTTCTGTTGCTGCAATTGCCCATCCAGAAAAGTGCTGCCCCCCCGCCCAGAAAACTCAGATAAACTTTTGTTATTACCTGAATCCTGGAAACACGATATGGTCCACATGGCCTTTTCCCTGTAACTTAATCTTCCCTTCGATTCTTTAATATTTGCTTTTTTGTTAAGAAACAGAAACCCAAAAAGCTACTCCCACCCTCATGCAAACAGAATCTCTCTCCTCCCTTTTTCTTGCCTTTCTCACAGGGTTCAGATGAGACCAGAGGTGAGAAGTCCCATTCTTCTCCAAGTGCCACTCTTTTCCGGGGGTGGGTCGTGAAGGGAGCTTCCCAGTGCCGTCAGCTGCCAGTTATCTGGTGTTGATGAGCTCACTGTTGAGTGTTTCAGGAAATTTTTATTTTCCAGAGCTTCTTAACATCATTCATCAGGAAAATGGATGAAAATCTCTGCTGACAATGCACTCTTCCTAGTTAGTCCCTGCCCCGATGAAACACTTTAAAATCAGAGCTTAATCACCTCCCTGGGAAGTACAGAGAGGAAGGGAAGAAGCGGCAGAGATCAGGCATCTAATGGGTATAGGATTGAAGAGGAAAACAAAGCAACCTTGCCCAAGTGTGTCTTTCACAATGGGGCTTGGGTGCGTTGTCGCCCGAAGCATGCCTGTGACCAAGGTACTCACAGGAGGGACAGAGAGCCTACAGGGCTCCGAGGAAGATGGAGCTGGGGAAATTTCAAGGAAGGAGATGGGTCTGGCCCAGTCCAGCGTTTCTCGGCTTAGCCCTATGATATTTTGGGCCAGAGAATTCTTTGCTGGGGGAGACTGTCCTGTGCATTGTAGGATGTTTAGCACAGCAACCGTGGCATCTCTCAACTGCCCCCCACCCCCATTCAAAACTGTCTCCAGACATTGCCAAAAGTCCCTGGGGGTCGAAATCGCTGGATTGAGAACTCTTGCACTAGCCTGACAGGAAGCAGTGACTGAAGCCCTGTTTCCCGTGTCGGGCGTAGCTGACTCAAACCCTGGTTTTGCCATCTCATCATCTGAAATGAGGCTAATGGTAGTGCCTGCCTCATAGGGCCGAGGGAGGCTTAGAGCTAATTCATGTGATGATCTTAGCACATCGCTTGGCTTTCAGTAGGCGCTCAGTAAATGCCAGCTGTTCTCTGTATTATTGACTCGGAGGGAGGGGCTGCGTGGGACACTGTTGGCTAATGGGCTCATCCATGAGAGTCGGGCTGCTCGAACTCCTACCCACAGTCCCCTATGCTGGTTGGGGAGGGGAGAAGCCTTCCTCCTGGGAAGCCTGACCGGGACAGGCCCCCGTGTCGTATACAGGAACAGCATGTGCCATGGCAGGAGCACTGGACCAGGAGTCAGGACACCAGAGTTTCAGTTCTGGCTCTGCCTTGGGCAAGGACCTTCCATTTCTGAGCCTCAACTTGCTCATCTGTGGAATGGAGAGGTTAATAAAAGTAGCCATTCCTCAAGGCTCCTGAGAGGGTCCCTTGAGATAAAGGAGGTTACAAGTGCTTCGTCTCATATAAAGTCAGATACAAGGCGTAATTGTGCATTAGCTAATATAAGCTAATTTAAGACTGTGGCCTTAGACATAGTTTCTTCCCGGTTGCCTGGTTTTCTCCTGGTCTGGATATTTCTTGAGGTTCTGGAACTTGGCTCTGCGTGGGTCTGGGAGTCTGGCTCTCTGAGCAGCCTCCTGTTCTCTCACCCGGCCTCCTGCCTCTGGCCTCTTTCCTTTCAACCTGCCGATGTCTCCCCAGACATCCAGGCTGGCAGCCCAGTGTTGGTTGGCTGATGGGTTGCTGGTGGTTGGCCAGATGGACGAGTTCCCTCCAGAGGAGTCTTGGGCAATGCTTTCTTTCCAGTCTCTTCTTCCCTCAGTAACATACCCAGTGTGAAGACTGGCACCCCTAAAGATGTATAACTGAGGCCCTCTCCTCCCTGAGTGGGCTGTGGCCTGCAGTCCTTCTCCTGTGTTCAGGCCCCCTTTGCCCCCTTATTCTAGGGACCGCCTCACCCACAATGACATCGTGGCCACCACCCACCTGAGTATGTCAAAAATCTCTGCCCCTGGAGGAGAAATAGAAGGTAAGTTCTCCCTTTGTTCTGTCCTCTGGTTCCCCCCCGCCGTGCTCTCCCCTGACGCACCCCTACCTGTCTTACATCCCTAGTTTTGAGAGTTCAGAAAAGGGAATATTAATTATAAGGCCATCGCAGCCCATTTTCCGTGAAGAAGGGCTATGGCCAATTTGAAAAATGGGCTTACAGACATTTCGGATTCTCTACACCTTGGCTGGGGGTATACACCGCTGACTGGTATAGAGAGGATCATTCAGTCCTGCGGATTACATCAGTGGCCATACCAGGTTCTGTGCCATGGTGGACTGAGCTCCAGCAACTTCTATTTTGAAATAGCTTTCATTGGTCAGTTAAAAAGGAGGCCATGACCATTTTGTAAAATTTTAAAGATACTGAAGAAGAATATAAAACTTACCCATAAAAATTCCTCATCTGCTTACCCCCCCAGACAAGAGCTGATGAGTAATATTCTGGGAGTTCTTCGTGTGTATGTATGTATATGTACACATACACATGTGTGTGCATTAAAAAGTATTCTGGGGGCGCCTGGGTGGCTCAGTCGGTTAAGCGACTGCCTTCGGCTCAGGTCGTGATCCTGGAGTCCCGGGATCGAGTCCCGCATCGGGCTCCCTGCTCGGCGGGGAGTCTGCTTCTCCCTCTGACCCTCCCCCCTCTCATGTGCTCTCTCTCTCATTCTCTCTCTATCAAATAAAAAAAAAAATCTTTAAAAGTATTCTGAAACAATTGTTTTGAAAATTGCTTTTTGTCCCTCGGCAATACAACAGATTTTATTCATGTTATTAAATATTCTTCTACAATATAATTTTAAATGACTACACATATTCCATTGTGTGAATGTACCATAATCCACGTTAACCAGTTAATGATGAATACTTGGGTGCTTTCTAATTTTTCTACATTATAAAGAACAAATTTTAAGGAATATTTTTGTAGCTGAATCTTTATGCAATTCATGATTTTTTTTGGAATGAATACTTAGAAGTGGAATTGCTGTATCAAAGGATTTGTACATTTTAAAGCAACTTGTATATATCAAAATCGCCCTTTGAAAAGATTGGACTAATGTACACTCTGGTCACTCACATGAGCTTCTTTTGCTGTACCTTCACCAACACAGGGTAAAATAATATTAAAAAGAACTTTGTTAATTTGATGGGTGAATTTCATTGTTGCCTTAATTTTCATTTCATTAGTAGCTGCTAAAGTTGATGAATGCAATTTAAAAAATATTTTAATAATTAATTTATATTTACATATTATATGTTTATATACTTTATATTTATTCTGTTATAAATTGCCTGTTCATTGTCTTGGCCCATATTTCTGATCATGTTTGTCTTTTTCTCATTGTTTTGTAAGAGTTCTGTATATATATGGATATTAACTTTCCCCCGTCATGTAAGTGGTAAATAATTCTTGTCTGTTTTATTTTACCATTTAATAGAATTTGGTGTATAGAAATTTAAAATTTTTATGTAGCCAAATCTGTTAACCTTTTCCTTAGTCAATAAGGCAAGGATCTAACATTACTTTATTCACAGTTGTTCTTTGTGAATAACACCAACAGTGTATATTGAATAATCTTTCCCCTATATTTTGAAATGCCACCTTTATCCCCTACTGAATTCCTAAATATGTTCTTGGGCCTGTTTCTTGATTTTCTATTAGCTTTAATTGGTATGTCTGGTTGCTGTTTCTTAGGTTTTGGTATCTGGGTAATGCTGGCTCTGTAAAATTAATTGGAAAGATTTAAAGTCTTTTCTAACATCTGGAGCAGTTTATATAACATAAGAACATAGTCTTTTGAGGGTTTGAAAGAATTCACCCATAAAACCAGATGGGCTGGGTGCCCTTTTTAGTGGGTATAGCACTAACTCTTTAAAAACTTTTCAGTTTTCCTGTGAGCACTGTTATTTTTAGTTTGTTACTTTTATGATAGTCACTTTTAATAATTTATATCTTCCTAGAAGAGTATTCACTATGCTGAGCTCCTCTAATTTATTTACATAGTTGTTGTAGAGAGCTGTCTTTTATAATTTAAACAATTCTCTCTACCTGTGGTATTTTCCCCATTTCTTATTTTTAATGATATGTGTTTGACTTTTCTTTCTTTTTTTTTCTTGATTAGCCTTGTTACAAGCGCCGCCACACATACACACTTTGTTGGACTTTTCAAAGAATCAACTTTTGGATTTATTTATCAATTCTAATATTTTTTTCTTAATTTTCTAATTTTTTCTTTTCTTATTTTTTGTTCTGTCATCTTTTTACTCTTATCTTTAACTCTTTTCAACTTATTTTGTTGTTTCCTTTTAAGACTTTCTAATTAACTTCTTGTGCTTATTTTCAAAATCTCTTATCTAAACAATGATATGGTTTCTGCTCTCTATATAGGTCATGCTTTTGGCCTTCAGCAAACCCCAGGGTTATATTTAACTCTCTTTTTAATTTTCTTTACATTTAAATATTTAGTCTATTTTGAATTTATGTAGGTGCACTTTCCGAAAGCAGATTTGATTTTCTTTGTAGGTAGTCTACCTTTTTCTAACTAGATGCTGCTTGTAGGAATGCATTTTTTTTTCCTTATGGTTAAATTACTCTGATGTATCTAGGGGCAGGACTCTTTTCATTGAATTTTGAGACATGGAGAATTCTTTAAATCTGAGTTGAGGAATAATTTATTCCAACATGGGAACATGAGCAGCTGAAGGCAGGGTGGGGTAGGGATAAGAGGAGCTCTGGAAGCAGGCAGCTTGGGTCCCAATTCTGCTTTTTTGTAGCTGAGTGAGTCACTTCTCTCCTCTCACCAGTCCTGGCCTCATAAGGTTGTTGTAAAGATCCAGGGAGATTTTAAATGTAACATTCTTAGAGTGTCTGGTACGCATGAAACCCTAAAGTAAAGTAATGTTTGCTGTGTAGTATCATTATTATTGGCTTTCTGCATCACTAATCTGATTTTTTCCCCTGTACTAGTTCTCCTGCCTGCTTTCCATGTGGTTTAAAATTGGCCCTTGCATTTTTAGTTTCTCGTCCTGCCTTCTTTTCCCTCTGTCATTCCTTTGATATTTCCATTTTCTTTCTTGTCTGTTCTCTCCCAGAAGTTTTACTTTGTTCCACAAAAGTTATGTCTTCTTTCACTCTGTTGAGAATTCCAAATCACTTCCTGAGACTTTCAGGTAAATGTTCTCTGGAATCGTGCAGATGCTGCTACACCATCTTGGTTGGCACTCTGTGAATCTTCCTTTCTCCTTTATTCACTCTCTAGCAAGACGTGGTTGGTGTTGGTCTCTTTCTACAGACAGATGCATTGTTCTCTGTCCATCCATCTTGACAAATCTTTACCTGGAGCACAGGGGAATGTGCCCAGTTTCTGGAAGACTCCACCTCGTGCTCTTGAAGTTGAGCAATCCCTTCTTCTAGGTCCTCTGAAACATTAAAAAACCCCACCTTTTAATTATAGAAAATTGAGACACACATGAAAATACAGAATTGTGCAGTGGAATTCCAGGTGTCCTCACTCAGCTTTAATATCTCGCTGCGCTCGGCCGTTCTGACTTCATCGTTGATACTTTTAATCGGTGGAATACACAGAAACTACCTTCCATAGGGCACTGCTAAGGAAGGCCCCTCCTGCCCCTGCCCCTTCCCCTCCCAACTGGGAACAATTATCCCAGGATGCAGTCCCCCGTCTCTGGTGCTGTTCAGATAATTTCTGGGAATGGCTATTTTGGATGGACAGGTAGAAAGATTTGAGGTGGGAGGCAGTGTGTCATGAGGATGGGGTGGGAGAGGGGACATTCTGGACCCCTTGCAGATCAAAACTCCTGGTATGGAAGGAACCTTCTCCAGTTTTCCCATTGGTGCTGTCCCCCATCCTTAGAATCCAGGGGCGGACCCTGGTAGAAGCACAAAGTGCCCTTCTGACTGTTCTCCGACGGCTACTATTTCATGAGGCTACAGCTGTGCCTGCCATCAGCTGTCGGAGGGAGAGTTTAGATCCCTGTCTCCCCATCAGTCTTCATTACTGTTGGTGATGTTGGCCTGCATCTTTTTCAGGGTCCCTGTGAAGGTCTTAATGGGAATGTGAGGAAGATGTTTATTTGGCCACTAGATGGCGTTCAGGTCATGGGCAACCCCGTGTGGTTCAGGGAGGCCTTGGAAGGTGGGTTCCTCCTCTCCCACAGATTGTTTTGGGAATAAAGGAGAATATTCTTGCAACGATGGCCAGTCAGTTTTAAATGTGTTGTTAAATAGCTTGATCTCTGAAACAATACAAGAATGTAACTTCTTGCTCAAAATAGAGCCGGGCCTCATGATGCCTCTGACATGCATCCCCTTCTGAGATGCTGCAGGGTAGTGTTTGCCTTGCTCCCTGCTCAGCTTCTCCCACTTGTCCCAAGGCCATCTCAGGACGGGTCACTCTGACTTTCTTTTCAACTGTTTGCATTTTTCCTTCACATGAGGGGGATCCAGCCCCTCTGGGCAACGCACGACACTATTTTCCCACAGCTCCCAAAAGCCCCAACTCGACCAAACTGTAAAAACCAGTTGTTTCTCTATATTCCCCCACCTCCTGGTTCACCAGAATATTTGGCCCAACCAGGAGTTTTTGTTTTTCTTTCCAGCGAGGACGGGACCTAACAGTAGCCTCTTAAGCACGTCTGCCCACAAGCTTGCCTGGGCACACTGAAGTATTCCTTGGACCCTGTACCCCAAAGCATTTAGTAAAAATTTTGTTTTCTAAAAAGGAGTGATTTCCTTAGAAGCTGCAGTTCTTTCAAAAGGTAATGGGCACATGAGACCCATGAAATGACACAGATTCTTTTATAACTCTATACATATGGAAATCATACTGCAAAGATGGCACTGGTAACCTACAGTTTTTTCTAAGAAACCCAGAGTTTTTTGTTTTTGTGTGTGTGTGGTGTTTTTTTTTTTTTTGTCTTTGGAGCATTGATGATGATTTCCCAGCAGTTCTCGGCCTCTCCTCCTGCCTGGCACCAGCTGGTGTCAGGCCGCCAAGCTGTGAGCATGGGAGATGTGCTGAGGGAGGGAGCTGGTGGAGCTGATGGCAGGTAACGGCCTCAGCTTCTCCAGGAGGAGACGTGGGTGTCTGTGGACACTGCAGAGCTGTGATGTGTGGCTCACGGGCCGGGAGAGCCTGCTCCTGGTCTTCTCTGGCTTTCCCCCGGGGGAGGGAGTTGGGTTTGTTGGCTCAGGCCACAAAACTGGGAATATTCCTCCATGTTCTGGGGCTTCTACAGCCCTGGTTCTCTGGGCTTGGGGAAAACACAGCAGGACACTTGCGTTTTGACAGAGGGTGATGAGGACTGAATGGTGGCTTTGCGTGAGGTAGCTTCACCAGTCACTTTGCCCTTGACTTTATGAGCTGTCTGCAGACACAGAGGAGAGAACCTGAGATGATCCTCAGTACCCCGGAGACCTGTGACCCTGCCCCCAAATTAGGAATCATTGGTCAAAGCTGTCAGCAGGGCCATGTCTTACTCAGTGCCCAGCACTGTGCCTGATTAGGTTTGTTGAATGAGTGGACGGATGAATGAAGAAATGAGGGAATTCATGAGAGGCGCCCCTGGGAAGTAGGCTGGTCGGCAGCCACCCACTCGGTCCTCCTGGACCCCAGAGGCATGTGTTGGTCAGATGGCTGGTGGGGTTCTGGGGACATCTGTGTCTAGGCTGGGCACCGGTTTACAGCCAGGATTCGGAGTTGGCCTCTGCAGGAAGCACATGGTGGTCAGAGCTGTGACCTCGGCCTCATTAGCCTGCGATAACTGGCCAGGTCTGTTTGTAATCATTTGGAAGGAGCTTAAAATGGAATCTGTTTCCTTCCGGTGGGCCCTGGTTGCTACTCTCCTCGGCACTGCAGCTGTGCCCAGGTCGGTCCTCTCCCTGTGGCTAAAAGCTCCCCTGTGACCAGAGGCCTGGCTCCCCCACCGATGAAAACCTAGTCCTGTGGATATGAAAACGGCCATGAATTATGGTTTCTGCAGCTCTAGCCGCATTCCTCGCTGAGGCCTGGCCACTGAGAGCTGTGGGGCTGGGTCCCAAGGCCTGGGCCCCTGCAGCTGGACCTTGCCCTCCTGCTGCCTTCTGCACTAGTGGGGTCAGCCCTGGCCTTGTATCTGGACTTCCATGTTCCCCTTCTCTCTCGTCTTCACTCTCTGTCTTGTGTGTCTCTTACTCAGTCTTCCTTCACACTGTTTTGCTCAACTCTTGGCTCTTGGCTCTTAATTATAGTCATGGAGCTATGGGGAAATAGTCATAGATATATATTTTTGGGGAGGAGACAAGCAGATAAAGATGACCAATGAATGAAAATAATCAAAGATTTTACCAGCCATATCAACAGGCTGGGTAATGATCAGCTGGTTGGAGGAGGAGACAGGGAGGGTCAGAATGCAGGAAGAGGCTGAAATCAGAGAGGACCATGGAAGGAGAGTGAAGGGTGCCCACTCCCTGCGGGCTGTTTTAGATCTGCCTAAAAGTGAGGGATGGATTCCAAGAGCCCAGAAGGGTGCTAGAGCATCTCCTTCCTTGCTTCTCTCATTTTTTGCTTCTCCTTCCTTGCTTCTCTCATTTCCAGACACCCCTTACCAGCATTTAGGGGCACGTCCAAGTGTGTAGAATCTTCAGCTAATGGGCAGTGTCTGGCACTATGCTTCCCTTGAAGTGGAAGATGCCTGAAGCCAGATCCCAGTGCCTGCCGTTGTGAAAATGCAACATGGTGTCCTCAGTGGCAATCCTGAAAGTAGCCACTAGATGGAGATGTTGTACCTTGAAATGCCCTTGCTCCGTGAACTTGGTCCCAAGTGTCAACCTGCTTGTTGGGTGGAGTGCTGGGTGTGCCTCGCTACCTGTTCCTGTTTCAACTCCCACCCTTTCTTTGTATCTGTTTCCCTCACTTATTTGGCTATAATATAGAAAAAAAAGCACAATTTCTTTTCTGTGTTATTATCTGAATATACTGAGTCAAGTTTCAGGTCCCATTTTCAATTGGCAAGCAGAGCACAGACATAGGTAGGCAGACAGCAGTGGGGAGGGACCTCAGGGCTCACCCTGGCAGTAAGGGCTGTGTCTGGCTGGGGGAGGGAGGTGGCGCGGTGATGACTTTATTTGTGATAAACTCACACCTGGGCTGGGGGTGGGGCCTCGGGCCACATCTGTTTCCCCCACGGGGGCTGTCTGTCTTTCCATCTGTCTGTCTGCCAGTTCTCCATCCACACGCCTGTTCACGTAACCAGTCCTCCTCTCAGTCATGTCCATCCTAACCCCTTTTCCATTTCTTTACGCTTCAGAGGAGCCTGCAGGTGTGGCCAAGCCTTCTCCCGCCATGGACTGTATGTGCTTCCCCCGCCCCGGGGATGGCAAGGGGGGTGGGCCTTGGGGTTTTCGCTGGAGGGGAGAGGGAGCTGGTTTCTGGGAAGTTTTTGATTTGCCTGAGGTGGGGCTGAGATTCACCACCTCGGTCCCTGAGCTTACCTTTGGCTGTTACCTCTCCATGCAGGTTGAATATGAAAATCGCTTGGAATGCTTTAAAGACAATTCCCCTCCCAGCACCCCCCTCCCTGCCCCTTCCCTCCCCCCAACCTTTTCCTGAACCTGCTGGGCTCCAGCTCAGGCTCAAATGAGTCCACTCTCTCAGGCAGGGAGCGGTGGGGTGGGGGCCTGGGCAAGGCATCTTGGGAATCAGGAGGAGGCCAGGGTGAGTGGAAAACTCTTGAAGTTCACAAGGTAAATCATAATGGAGATGATTAGTACAAATAATTAGTAAAGCCCATGTTAGTTTCCTCTGCCTGGGCCTCCCACCTCTGTCCCAAATGCCAGAGCCCTGTGTGTGCTGGGGACTAGGGGGAGAGCCTAGATGGTGGCTGGGCGACCGGCTCTGTGGGGAGGCATGCTCCTATGCTCTGGTCGGCAGTATCTATTTATCCAGCCCTGTCCCTGCGCGCCCCGCATCACCCCAGGGTCTTGGCACGCGGCGGGACTTGGAGTTCACAGCTCCTGTCCTTAGGTCTGGCTCAAGCATTTCCTTGCTGAGGCCATTTATTCTGTGCCTACCTTGCCCCATCCTTGCTCCTATGGATTGGATCATCCCAGATGATTCCTGCTTGTGGGCCCCCTTCCTATTTGTGGCATTCTGGAAACAGCCTCTTCCCCTGACTTCCTCTGGAAGAGACACCCTGGCTTTTTGGGGTTCTCAGAGTATGTCCAGTGAAGTCCTGTCCTAGGAAACTTGGCCATTGGCTGGAAAATCATGACGTAACAACAGAGGACCTTTGAAAAGGAGGGAAGTGATGTAGAGAGAAGACTTCCCTCATCATTGGTGGGATTCTCCTTTTCACTCTCCTCCAACCTGTTCCACTGAAAGGTGGTTCTTTGCACAATGTGGGGAGGGAGTCAGAATGCTGGCATGAGTCAGGGCTGTTAGGTAATCTGTCTCGACTTCGTAATGACATGGGGGTAAGGGGGACATGTGCCCGGGGGTGGGGGGTTTGCCTTGTGGGTTGGGACATCTAAACAGGTCCCTGCCCTGGCTCCCCGGGGGGGGTGGCTTCTCTGGTCACCAAACTCTGGGGCCTCCTTTGTTCGCTCCCACACTCCTGTGCAGGAGGAGTGGGGATGCAGGACAGGGTGCAGCCTGAGAGGGGCAGGACAGTGGAGGGCCCTGAGCCCCAGCTTTGCATGCTGGCTAAGTGCATGGGCTTTGAGGTCAGAGCATTTTGGGTGATGCCACTTTGTAGTGAAGTGTTCCTTTGCATCTCTGAGCCTCAGTTTTCTCATCTGTAAAATGAGATAATAAAAATAATAAGCATCTCCATGTCCCAGCAGAGTGGTGAGGATTAAGGGGCCTATGGGAGACAATGGTCAGTGTCACCATTCTTTATGCACTTGTGGGCGCTGCATCCCATGTGTGTTCAGGGAACTGAGGGCCAGGGATGGGCTCAGGCCTGAAGCTGGCTGGGTTGAGCACTAGAAGGCTCCATGGAGCTGGTTCCTCTGACCCCCACCTGTGTCTCCCAGTGGACGACCACCTGGGCTTCCTCCCCACCTTCGGGCCCTGCTATGTCAACCTCTACGGCAGCCCTAGGGAGTTCACCGGCTTTCCGGACCCCTATGCGGAACTCAACACAGGCAAGGTGAGCCCACCAGCATCCCCGCACACCCAGATCCCCGGGCCTGTGTGCAGGGCCCTTCCAGCCTGGGTAGCATCTGCTCTGGTCCAGACTCCAAGGAGCTTGGAGCTGATGGAGCTTGAGTGGGCCCACGGCCAGACAGCCCCCACCTCAGAGAAAGCCTCCTTCTGCCTGGCCCTCTCCTGGCCCCTTCTTCCTTCTCACTCCCCTCCCCTTTGCTTCTCCTTCAGGGCCAGCCTGACCCCCTTGCTCCCTCATTTTCCTGGCCCCTGAGGGACCCAGGTCTCATCTGTGTCAGGTTTCATCTCTTCTCTGGTTGGGTTGGAGTCTGATACTGATCATCTGGGTGGCTTGTCATGTCCCCTGAACTCTCTGGGCCACTGTTTCCTTATCTGCAGAGTGATGGGGGTAGACCAGGGCCCTCCTGGTTGCCTGAGGAAGGAGCAACTTCAGGGCCAGATCAGGTCCCTTTCCTTCTTCTCCTCCCCTCCATCCCCTCTGCTCCTGGTGACCCAACCTCCCCTCTTAGGGAGAAGGCGTGGCCTACCGAGGTCGGCTTCTGCTCTCCCTGGAGACTAAGCTGGTGGAGCACAGCGAGCAAAAGGTGGAGGACCTCCCTGCGGATGACATCCTTCGGGTGGAGGTGAGGGGTGTGGCTCTGGAAGGGGTGAAGGAGGTGGCAGCCAAACGGGGCTGGTTCCTAGTGTCATGGTGGAGGAGGGCTCAGCTCCACCCACGGTCTGTGCCTTCACCCTTCTGGGCCTTAGTGCCTCGGCTGTGACATACCAGTAACCCCATGGCTACCCTGTCTCCCTGAGGAATGTTCAGAGGCTCAAAGAAAATAAATGAAACTATTTGACAAGCCTAGAACTTGATGCAGAGTGAGAGGTCTATTTTATAACAATAACGTAGGAACAGCTCACACTTATCAATCACTCACCGTATGTCAGATGCTTTGCTAGTGACACTTGATGTCGTGGAGTCCTTCCAGCACCTGTGAGGTGGTTGCTTTTAGTATCTCCGTTTTACAGATGAGGACACTGAGGCTCAAATGTACCAGAGCAGCAAGTGTGAGAGCCGAGCCTTGTGCCCAGGAGGTGGCTGGATGGGGTCTGTGTGGTGGGTTAAGCTCTCAGACTCTAGCCAGAAAGCGCTGGTTTGAATCCTGGCTTGACTACTTACCGGCTCTAGCATTTTCCTTATCAATGAAGCAGGGGTAGTAAGTATACTTACCTCCTAAGATTGTTGTGAGAATTACATTAATTCAAAGCTGTACGCAACGAGCAGTCAATAAGCGTTAGCTCTTATTACTATTTCACATCATTCCACAACCCGGTTGTGTTAACCCTTTTCTCTCTGCCTTCCATGAAGGGGATCGCAAAGTCATCTCGATTCAGACCTGGCTGTGTGATGGAGAGCCTGCCATGTCCTCAGCCGTGTGCCCGATGCCCAGAGGGGACATTCCTCCCCCCGCACGTGGCAGCTTGTGTCTACCGCAGAGCTGGGTGGCGTGCTGGGGACCCCGAGTGGCACGGGGTGGGAGCTCTGGGCAGTGGCATGGCCGTTTAGAGCCTTCGGCCCCTTTTGAATGGCAGATGCAGGAGACCAGGCTTCCCCTGGGGGCGGGGAGGGGAGCGGGCGGTGCCATGGTTGCTGGTTTGGATTAAGGAGCAGCATGACCTTGGAGGAGCAGACCTTATTAGAGGAACATGGCCAAACACACAGGCCTGGAATGAGTTTGTTCAGTTAGTAACCAAATCTGGGCACTGTTGCTTCGCTGGACCATTCACCACCCATCCGTCCAGCCAGGATTTATTGGGCGCCAGTCACGGCTGGGGCCTGCCAGACATGTGACCCCTCCCCATCCCAGTGTCTTCCTTCCTCCTCCCGTGACCCAGCAGCTGCCCTTTCTGCCCCCAGAAATATCTCCGGAGGCGCAAGTACTCCCTCTTTGCCGCCTTCTACTCGGCCTCCATGCTCCAGGATGTGGACGATGCCATCCAGTTCGAGGTCAGCATTGGGAACTACGGCAACAAGTTTGACACGACGTGCCTGCCACTGGCTTCCACCACCCAGTACAGCCGGGCAGTCTTTGATGGTGAGGCTGGGGGCTGTGTGCCTGGCTGGGACCCGGACCACAGAGCAGGGCCCCGACCCGGAATCCTGCTTCTCCTGCAGAGCTAGCTGCCGGAGGCCCACCCGAAGGCCCTCCCGGCCCAGGAAAACCTGTTTGGGCTGACTCCCTGCTCTGTCCTCCCCCCCCCCCCCGCCCCTGTGCCACCCCCCACTCCCCGCTCCCCTCCAGGTGGGTCTCTGCTGCCAGGACCACAGATTGGGCTGCCAAAACAGGCTGTGGTCGGGAAAGATCCTGACCTAGGGCCATAGCTGATTTCATGGTGGCTATTTGGAGTCGCGTAGAGATTTTGGAGAGTTGGGTTTCCTAGGGTCCTTCTAGCAATCCCTCTGTTTGCATGTGCTCAAGAGCCCTCATGAGAGCACCAGCTGTTCGTTCAACAGATGGAGGGAGCTCAGGCACCCTGTTTGGCCACTGGGGAATATGGGCCGTTCGTGTATGTCCCAGGGGGTTCTTAGCGGGAGGGAGCAGGTGTCTGAATCTGTCCCGCCCTTGGGCCCCTTCCCACCCACCCCTGCACTCCTGGCTCAGGACCAGGTCCTTCGTGTCCTTCCAGGGTGCCACTACTATTACTTGCCCTGGGGCAACGTGAAGCCCGTGGTGGTACTGTCATCCTACTGGGAGGACATCAGCCACAGAGTTGAGGCTCAGAACCAGCTGCTCAGGATCGCAGATCGGCTGGTGAGTGGAAGCTGCCTCACCCCTGCACACCCCCTGTGCTGCTCCCTGCCCCCAGAGGTGTCCGTGGACCAGGCCCCCAGGAGTGACGCACTTACACATAGCTGTGCCTGCAGACTCTCACGGCGCCTGGGGTCCTTTGTGTCCTGACTGTGGCTTGCTGGGTTGGCGATCTTGTCCTGCTAGCGGGAAGGGAGGAGAGGGAGTGCGAATGATCTGGGGGCCCAGTGAGGTAGGAGACAGTGCAGAGAAGGAGCTGAGAGGAAGCAAGCTGGAGCCACGGGCAGAACCTGGCACCCATTCGTGCATGCATGCGTTCGTGCATCAGATGCCTTTGCCTCCTGCCACACGCCAGGGTTTGTGCTGGAGCTTTATAGCCACATGGGGGACTTGGACAAGGAGCTGCCCTGCCTTTAGGAGTCAGTCTAGTGAAGGCAAGTGCAGGTTCACCCACACCTCTCATGCAGGGGTTCCAAACCCAAGTGCAGGTGACACTCCTGGAGTGCCACGAGGAAGGATGGGCACTCAGAGAAGGGAGAGGGCCAAGGAGCGTCAGGAGGGCATTGTGGAGGCAGCGAGGAGATGGGAGGCAGGAGCCCTGTTAGGGTGCCATGGCAGTGGTCTGGGAGCAGTGACAAGCCCTGGGCGGGAGGGGACCTCAGGGACAAAGCTGCAGGGCTGGGGCTAGAAGGACTTGGTGGCCGGGGAGTTGGGAAGACAGGGAGAAGCACAGTGTACGAGGTCAGGCAGGGAATTGTGCTTTGGAGGTGACCAGGGAGTCCCGTGGGGGTTCCCCATGGATGCTGAGACCTGGGGGCCCGGCGCTCGGCCAGAGAGTGGAGGAGAACGAAGTGGACAGAGGTGTATAGACCAAGGGTGGGTAGCTGGTGATCCTCGGGGTGACCCTGGGCTGTGTCTGTGTGTTTCTGACACGGAACCCGGGGGAGGCAGGTGTGGCTGCGCTGTGGGAGCAAGCCAGGAGCAGTGGGGTGGTGGGAAGGCGTTGCAGAGGCTCAGGTGTGTGTTGGTGGGTGCGGAGGTGAGCGCAGCCAGGAGCACAGGGGAGCGGAAGGGGAGGATGGTGGTCTTGGAGGGGCGGGGAAGGGATGCCGGCCTATGCGAAGGCGTGGTGGACAGCCTTCCTGAGACTGGCAGCTCTTGGGGAGGGAGGATATCAGCCAGCACCCAGGTTCTGGAGGACTTGGAGTCCTTGCTGTGCAAGTCCAGACTCAGGCTTCTGGGGTCGCCATTCTCTGACAGGATGCTCCCTGAGGGCCGGGAACTGTGTTCTTCCCAAGGCCTGTCATCAGAATGGCACATGCGCAGGGAGGCCGATGGGTGGGGAGGGGACCTGAGGGGCCTGAGTGGCAAGCCCTTGACCGGACAGGTTTTCTGTGAGGGCTCCCCCAGCTCAGGGCTGAGCTCAGGAGATGGCTGCTGAGGGGCTCCAGCAGGAGACAGATGTGACCTGGGAGTGACTGGGCCATGAGTTTGGAGAGGGAACTCTCTGTTATTGGAGGTGGTCTGAGTGTTCCTGAAGGAAGGAGGGGATCGAACCTGCTTGGGCAGGATGATTTGGGAGGGATAGAACATTTCAGGTGGGGACTGGTGTGGGCTCAGATGGTCCCTCACCTGGGAGATGGCAGACCTGTTGGAGGGGCTCTGGGAGGAGTGTGGAATGCAGCAGAGTTGTGTGGGAGCCTGCACACAGCATCACGTCCTTGTGACCAGGCCTGCGGTTGGAGTCCCAGGCTTGGGAATTTGGATCTGTTTGGAGTGGGGAGCCTTGAAAGGTTCTCAAGGTGAGACAGAGCTTGGTCTGTTGCATCTGGGCTCTGCCTTCTCTGTTCTCACTGTTCTCTCCTTTGGTTCAGGGCGTCAGGTCCAGATTTCGGTGGCAGGGCCTGGGGGTTGGGAGTCTGGTGTATACCTTCAACCCCGCAGGGGATGGTCCAACCCTTGCCTGCCTGTTCCACAGGAAGCTGGCCTGGAGCAAGTCCACTTGGCCATGAAGGCACAGTGCAGCCCCGAGGACGTGGACTCCCTGGTGGCTCAGCTGATGGATGAGCTCATCTCAGACTGCAGGTAGGGGGTGCCTGGCACCCACATGCCCTCCCCTCCTGGCTCAGTGAGGCCCTTTCCCTGGGAGTGTTCGTGTGTGGCAGTGAACGGCGGCACGTCTCCCCAGCCACGCTTGGCCAGCAGTCCAGCCCGTGCTGAGTCCAAAGGTGGTGGAGCCAGTGAGGGGAGTTGAAAAGGTGACATTTAGAGCAGGTCATAAATCTCCCTGCAGCAGCGGCAGCTGTGGGCCTGGGGCGGCCCGGCTCACCTGAATGGGGAGCATTGTGTCTCTGATCCCCGACCTCTTAGTTCCCTGATGGAATCTCCAGGAGGGGCTGGCGGGGGTGACGGTGCCCCTCCTCCCCAAGGCCATGTCGGGGACCATGGCTTCCACTTAGCCTTCTATCGACTTTAGGAAAAGAGGGCTCTGGGGGTGATGGGGAATGGGGGTGCTCAGAGGCCCAGTGGAAGGGGAGGCATCTCGGCATCTCCTCCCCTGCTGGGCGATTTGGGGCTCACCACCCACCTGCTCTGAGCCTTGCTTTCCTCATCTTCAACTTCACGTTAAGAATAACTGCTTATGATAGCACATAAGCAAAATGCTTAGCTCTTTAGGAAGAGTATGTAATAGATGGGGACTACAGTTACTATTAGGAAGAAATGTCAGAAGGACTTAGGTTCTTGTCCCTTTAACCAGCATTGTGGCTTTGGGCAGCTTCACTTCTCTGGATCTCAGTTTTCTCAGCTGTGAAATGTACTTAATGATACATAGTTGCTTTCCTACTGTCTGTGGGTTAAGGGTAAATGTATGAAAGTGTATTCTAGGCTCCCCTCAATCTTATCATCCCACCTTCTGCTGAGTGTCCGAGAAGTGCCTTCACACTCTGCCTGATGCAGAGCCCCTTCTTGTCCTTTGTACCCCAGCTGGGAAGTGCATCTTTATCAAACAAAACATTACCCCAAAGAGCCCTACCCTCAGGGGTGGAATTCCAGACAGGTCATTCACGCATTCCCCAAACCTTCGTGGAGATTAAAGCATGTTGACAAGGCTGCAGCTTCAACCCCTCTAGAGGTGACAGATGCAAAAGTGAGCAAACGAAGCAGAGTGTGTTGGGGAGTTAGAGGCCTGTGCTGCAACAGCTCAGAGCAGATGCCATCCTGCTCAGACTCAATTCAGGGGAGCTTCCTGGAGTGGGGGATGCTCCTTATGTGAACTCTGAAGGAGGAGTAGGAACCAGCCTTTGCAGCGGGGACTGCCCAGGCAGAGGTGCGAAGCCTGAAATGCCTGCCGCCTCCGTGGGTTGGCAGGGGGAGAGGAAGCCCAAATGGGATAGATAGGCCTGAGGGGTCTGCTAAGGTGAGCTCAGCCCTGGGAGGCTTGGCGGGGGGGTATGGGGATCCCCATGGTTCAGATGCTTGTCCTGGTTGCAGAGGGAGGGATGGGTTGGTGGTGCTGGTGGTGAGGGGATTTTAGACAAAGGTGTTACCTAAGCCAGGGACATGGGGAGGGCTGGGGGCCGAGAGAGGCAGAGGGCAGTCAGGACTCTTTAGGGGGCATCATAATGATCACAGTCTCATAACGAACACTTCCTATGTGAGATGCTATTTATGAGCACTTTACATGTATGAACTAATCATAAGCACCTTATGAGCTAGGAAATAGAGAGATCCACATTTTATAGATGAGAAAACTAAGGCACGGAGAGGTTAATTAACTTGCTCAGATTCACTTTTCTATAAGTGGCTGAGTCTGTTGGCTGTATCACTTTCTAATGAACAGGACTGGCTGGTGGGTTGGATGGGGGCGCCCAAGGAAGGTACAGAATGATCCTCCAGTTCTGGCCAGAGCAGCTGGGTGGCTAGCAGGGCCATTCTCAGGGGATCAGTGGGAGAAGAGCAGCTTTTGGGGAAGACGAGGAGCTTAGGACTGGCCGTGTTGGTGGGAGGTACCTGAGGGCATCTGTGGTCTGGAGGTTGGAGGACAGAGTGAGGCTGGAGGGGCACACAGGGGTGCAGTCAATGTGGGGAGGGGCTCAGAGTGACTCGCCGTGTATCACTGGCCTGGCCTGACAGCCTGGGTATGGAGGGTGGGTTATACCCACAGCACCGCTCATGACTCATGTGTTATGTGGACCTTGGCAGGTAGTCAGGTGCATGAAGCATCTGAGACGGGTGGGACCCAAGTCCTGGGCTGCCCTCACTGCCCCTCTCAGGGCTCTGTTCTCAGAGGATTCAGCTAAACACACTTCTGCTAAAGCCTGGTCCCCTTTGAGTCACTCTGCTGGGGATAGAAGGTGGCTGGGGTGGTCCCAGGTCAAGAGGAGTGGGGGGAGGGAAGCTTCCCATCTTCTTGGAATGCGCAAATGGTTCTCCAGGGAGGAATACCAAACATCAGGACCGATTCCTTCAGGCACCACTTGAGGCCCCCAGTAGCCCTGGGGCAGCAGCGAGAGGGCTGCCTTCACCTCCAGCTCTGGGCTGTCAAGCAGGGCAGCCAGGCACTGGGGCCCCAAGCCAGTCGGTCACAGCTGACCACTAGCTGTTCACCATTCCTTCAGCCAGCCCCCGTCCCACCTCCCAAATCAGTGTCCTTCCTTCTACAGCCTCTCTTTTCCTGGCTTCTCTCCCTCCTAGCCCCTCTCCCCCTGCCAGGGGGCCCCCTCTGCTCCTCCAGCCCAGCCTTCTCCTCTCATCCTTAGACCCACGCACCCATCTGCCCACTACACCTCTCTACCTGGATGTCTGCCAGCACGTCCCATTCCTTCTCTGGGGTCTTCCTAAAATTGGGCCATGCCGCCTCGGCTTCAGCCCTCAGCGGCTCCCACTGCCTTCAAGGAAAAGTCCCAGCTCTCATCCAGGTAGATGGGCCTCTTGGGCCCCACTCCCTTGTTGCCTCACGGACCCCAGCAGTCCTGCCCTCCGGCCCTTTGGAGCCTCTGTGCTGGCTTGTCCAGCTCTCGGGACCCCTCCTGCCTCTGAGCCTTTGTCTTGTGCACATTCTGTTCCTCCAGCCAGAACACCGTCTGGCTCTTCTTGGCCTGACTCGCTTCCTCCAGGAAGTACTGCTGACTCTGAGGCTGCTCAGTGGGGATCTAGCCTGTTTGCCTCTCTGTTCTGGGTGCTCCGGACCCAGCACTGTCGGGACCCACAGAGCTGTTGTTCATGAGGAATGAAACGAGTGACCCCTGGCCCAGTTCCTCTTTCAGGCTAGACACTGCGCCTTCTGGGCGGCTGTTCCTGATAAAGACACCCGTGTCCCCACAGGGGTCGGCAGCAACTTTGTGAGCCATCCAGCTCCGCTCTCAGCCTGCGCTGAGCTGCCCCGGGGCCTGCCCACCTTTTCCAAGTCAGCCAGGGTTGGCAGGGCGACCGCCCTTGTTTGGGGTGGGGACACAATGTCATCTGACCTTCTCTTCCCAGTCTCCCTTTCGTTCAGTCCCCGCTGCTTTGGGCTTTCCTGGGGCGGGAAAGGGCCAAGACATCTTGTTGGTGGCAGTCACGGGTCCCGGCTGTTTTGGGGGAGTCTTGGCTGGGCTGGTGGCCTCCATGAAAATCTCCTTTTGGTGGTCTGTATGGCAGTCCCTCCCAGCTCCCGACCCAGGCTGGGAACATAAATCACCCTGGTTGGCTCAGCTCTGCAGATCCAACTCCAGATCTGCCTGCCCCCGCCCTCAGGCCCACTCAGGCCTCCTTCCCAGGCAGGCCCCAGCCCAGGACTCTGGCCCAGGCCCCCCTTTACCCACCCGGCATGCCCCTCTGCCACGAATCGAGTGGGCTGGGGATGGAGGCCGCCCCTCTCCTGGCCTGGGGCAGCCCCATCCGCGGCACCCTCGGGGCAGTAAATATTATATTACTACAGGGTGTGCAGTACGTGACCTGAGACAGGCCCCGGGGCTTAAGTTTCCCGAGATGGAGTTTGCGTACTGCTCCCCCCACCCTAAAAATTCAATTAAAAAAAATAACAGGAAAAATGTAGTGCGCCGAGGGCCTGCCAGAGTGGTGTATCTGGCGGCGGCGGTGCCGCTCCGCTCCGGCGGTAATTGGTTCTGCATAGCTCGGGGAAATTGGCAGAAAAATAAATCAGCCGGGAGCCGGAGTCGAGACACTGCCGGGAGGGGAGTGTGAGGTGGGGGGGCTGCAAGTGGTGGGGGCAGAACTGGTGGAGCGGGTTTGACTGATGTCCTGTTTGGGAGTCAAGGGCTCAGTGGGGGTGGGGCGTGGGGCCTGGAGCGGCCCCCCCCCCCCCCACAGCAGGGATCATCTAGAGGGCTCCTGCATGGTGAGGGAGAGCACAGACGTCCCCCCTTCAACTTCCCCGCCTGACCTTGCATGTGTATTGACTGACCCCAGAGGCTCGGTATGGTGAGGAAGAGCCATATGAAGGAGGACATCTGGGGAGCCCGTGGGACTGGGGGGGTAGTCAGAGTTCTGTGCCTCCGGAACGGGATGGAGTTTAAAACCAAACCCCACGTGGGGCCTACGGCTGGATTTCTGGGGCTATATGTGCCCCCTACCTCCTCTCCAAAGGCTTCCCAAACAGAGGGTTCCGGGAGGGGTGTCCCGGGGCTGCCCCAGGTCGACATATCTGTATTGCTGGCTGCTGGCCTCCCCACAGCGTCTGCAGTGGCTTGTCAGGGGTCCATAAATTTCCTTCCTGAAGAACGTGTGCGCACAACAGAACGGATTCATTTCAGCCCAGGGCAACTTAGCACTCTGGCCTCTGCTCTAGGAGGATGCAGGGGGCACAGAGGGACCTGTTGGGCCCTCGGAGGGTTTGCGGTCATTTGGGCAGAGGGGACGCACGTGCAAAAGAACTCCTAAGTTCCAAACAGGCAGCTCCAGAATAGAGGGCTGAGGGACTTCCGAGCAGGAGGCACACGCACCAGTGTAGTTAGGGAAGGCTTCCCGGAGGAGGTGGGGATGGAGCAGGTCACATGGAGATGGGTCAGGCTGGAGAAGGCACCTAGGGCACATGGGGCACCTGGCAGGCAGGCTGAGGGTGTAGGGTTTGTTGGAGGCGGGGGGTCTGTGCACAGGCGTGTGAACAGCGTGTGTGTCTGGACCTGGGTGTGTGAGTGCTGGGCTCATCCCATCTGTCCGTCCCTCGCAGCCAGCCCCTAGGCAACGTCCACGAGATACCCTCTGCCACCCACCTGGACCAGTACCTGTACAGGCTGCGCAGCCGTCACCTAAGCCAGATTACTGAGGCAGCGCTGGCCCTGAAGCTTGGGCACAGCGGGCTCCCAGCCGCCCTGGAGCAGGCTGAAGACTGGCTCCTCCGTCTCCGTGCCCTGGCTGAGGAGGTAGGAAACCCTGGAAGGTGTCTTCCGTCCTGCCTGCAGACATCGGAACTGGGAGGGATGCGGGGACTGTCTGGGCCATGACCTGACTCTGGCTTCATTGCTGGGTGAGCTTGGACAGGTGACTCAATTTTTCTGAGCCTCAGTGTCCCCTATTTGCAGCAGGAGGAGACAGGATGCAACTGGACACTGGGTATTATGGGGCCTAGCTGAGAGCCTGGTGTGCAGTGGGTGTTCAGTCAATGCCCCCAAATATGTTCAAGACATGTGCTCAATCAGTGTCCCCAAAGTATGTCAGAGACGGAGCTCGGACCAGCATCCCGAGGCACCTGGCTCCGAGTGCGGTGCTGGGGCCTGCTTCCCCAGGGACCTGACTCCTCCCTACCAACCAGGACCTGTCCGCCCCTGGCCTCAAACCTGCCTCTGCTGGGGCCCTGTATTTCTTGCTCTCCTGGCTGCCTCCTAGCCCCAGGCCTGAGGAGGCTGTATTTGCAGGAACTGTGAACTTTGTAGTATCTAATCAGAGAGAAGTGGCTGCTGTTTGTCCCCACCTGCATACCACCCCTCCTTGCCCCAGGTTAGATGTACCCCCACCCTCACCCCAGTTCCCAGGGCAAGCAAGCCATCCACAGGTTTGTCCAGAACGAGGACAAGGTTCTGCTCATATGTCATGGGCAGACCAGCTGCTGCCCACTCCAACCAGAGGTGTGTGGTCCCCTTACGGAGGCGGTGGGGCCGGTGAGGAAGGATTTCCCCAGAAAGAGTGTGGAAAAGGGCAGGGCCTGAGAGGGGCTTCTGGAGGAGTGAATCGTTGAAGAGGAGAGAGGGGTCTGGGAGGTGGGAGGCTGCTCAGAAGGGGAACACAGTCCAAAAAGTTGGTCCCTGAGAGTCAGCCTTGGACTCGTCCCTGAGCAGGGCTTTGGGCATGTGGCCAGCTACCTGGGGGAAACACTGTGTTGCCCAGCCACAGGCTGACCCCATGCAGTGGCTACAGACCATCCTCTTGGGCTGGTCAAGGGCTGCCTTCCATCATCTTGGCCCAGATGGCCCCTGGAACTCTCCGCACAGATTGTGCCACAGCTGGGAGGGGTCAAGGTCAAATGGGGGCTCCTGACTGCAAGGGACCCCAGAGAGAGTCTTTCTCAAATTTGAATGCACATCAGAATCCCCTGAAGGGCTTGTTAAAATAGGTTACAAGCCCTGCCTGACCCTGCGTGTCTCTGGGAGAGCCTGAGAATTTGCATTTCTAGCGTGTTCCCAGGAGCTGCTGCTCTGGGGACCACACTGGTATCATGCTTAGGAACCACTGTTTGGAGGCAGAAAAACCTGGTTGGCTCCTACCCTCTTTGAGCTTAAGTTTCCTCACTGGCAAATGGGGCTGCCTGTCCTTGCTGCAGGGAGTAAGTGAAACCGTGAAATGCTCTCATCCGTGGCCCTGATTTGAGACCCAGTGCGCCACCTCACTGAGCACACTTTGCTCACCGGCCTTGGAAGCAGGTGGGCTGTACCCAACGGTTGTCACTCAGAGTTACTGGCTCTGAGGGGCTCAGGCCTTGCGGTTTTGTTCTGGGCTGGTCACCATTTTCAGAGTCCAATGTCATGATGCCCGGAAAAGGACCAGACCCCACAAGTCCCTGCTATTGGGGGGGGAGTGTCCTTCGGGAAAGGGCACATCTGGGGATTCGCTGCTACTCTCAGGGGTGAGGAAGAAGGGTAGCATCTTAAGTGTGATGTCATCTCTCAGATCAAATCAAATCCTCCAATCTCTGCGCCCCCGGGAGCATCTCTCTGCCCAGTGGAGGGGATCTAAGAAGATAAGCTCTGGTCTCCAGGCCGGAGTGTCTCTTCCCAGAAAATGTGAACTCAGCTCAGTGAATTTTTGGCAGGCTCCTCATGTGAGCGGAGGCAGCCTCATGCCCCGTGCTTGGGGGCTCCTAGCCGTGGAAGACAGAGGTGCCCAGCCAGCTGTAGGGGGGTTCAAGGAGGCTCTTGGTGGTGGGCGGCGGGGGAGCTGGAAGTGGGAGGAGAGGTGGCTCATGGTGGGGCTCTGGGCCTTCTCCGCCCTGACTGCCACCCTCTCTCCAGCCCCAGAATAGCCTGCCCGACATCATCATCTGGATGCTGCAGGGAGACAAGCGAGTGGCGTACCAGCGGCTGCCCGCACAGGAGGTCCTCTTCTCCCGCCGGGGCACTAGCTATTGTGGCAAGAATTGTGGGAAGCTGCAGACCATCTTTCTCAAAGTGGGTTCCTTTTTCTCAAGTCATGGTCATATTTTCTCCCAGGTAGTTCCCTCCCCCTTTCATGTCTCCTCCTGGTCTCCATCGCACTGAGAGTCTGTAGGCTCTCAGAAGGGGTGGCGGGCTTTGTGTAAAACCATTTCCCTTCTCTCTCCCCTGCCAAGTCCCTAGAGCCCACACACCTGGGCTAGAAAGTTGGCAGGTGAGAGCTGGAATCACGGGGTGCTGGAAATGAATGAGGCAGGGTCTGTGTCCCCTGCTCCCTACCTCCTCCCACTCCCCAGGCTGTCTGGGAGGGGCTGACTGCCGAGGCTGTTTTTGACCTCATAGCCAGGTCTCTGGTAGGGGGGGTTCAGCCCTCAGCCCCCACCCCAGCTTCTAAGAGCCCTGGTACAGACCTCCTTGCCCTGCCCGAGGGCTTTGACTCCATGTGGAGTCATGCTCAGGTTCAGGTTCTTCCCTGTGGGAGGGCTGGTGTTTGGGTACTGAGGGTGCCTGTGGCTCTGGCCCATCCGGGAGCTGGGGGCAAATAATCCAGGGCCCCTCATGTTGTCCTGCCCACATCTCTTCTCCCCTTTCTCCTCCAACCCACCCTTGCTCCCCGTCCATCTTCTTTCATGGTACTGGCCAGCCTCGGGCCGGGTGACAGGGATGTGAGCAGATGCCTGAGCACCCCCTCTCCTCCTCTCTGGGTTAATGTGGGACATAGAGCCAAGGCTGTTTTGGTGGGAGTACTGTGGCCTGGTGGCCAGGACACGATTCAGGAAAATCCCTTCCTGGGCTGTGACCGCCTGGGGCCCTAGGGGAGGGTCCCTGTTTGGAGGGCTGTCACTGAGGCTGTCCTGCTGGGGGAGGAGTGGCCCTGGGAGGCAGGCCGGCCCCTTGCCACTCACCGCTGACTCCAGATGGCTCTGTTGGCATTATAAGCCGCTGGCCTTCAGCCCAGCTGGCCCATCTGCCCCAGCCCCTTGCTCTCAGCCTTCCCTTCCCGGCCCCTCCTTCCATCCACACCAGGGACCAGCGCCGGCCTCTCCTCTTCCAGGAAGTCGTTGTTGGCTAGCCCTAGCCTCGAACCTCTGAGTGCCTGTCGGTCAACCCATTCATATATTGGCCAGTCTTTCTTGTTGTACCCTGGGCTGGGTGGAGAGGGCAGGTTTCAATAGTACAGTGTGTGTGGACAGGTGGCAGGGTTTGCTGGAAGCCTGTGTGGCTTTGGGTAGGTTGCCTAACCTCTCTGAACTGCTGGCTGTCTTCTCACCTGTAACATGAGCATCAGGCTGCCCACTTCACAGGTTTTGAGGGTTGAATTAGGTGACACAGGTCATGGGTCTTGCCGAAACGAGGTGATCAATGAATATCAGTTTCTCTCCCCTCTTGTTCCCTTTTCCTTCTGGGGTGCTCCCATGCTCCCCGGGGAGAGGAGGCTCCACCAGCACAACTAGAGGCAGAGGTGAGCAGATACCCGGACTCAGGGTCATTGGAGAGGCCAGCTTTGCTTAGAAGGAGGGTGGGGATGTGTCAGGCAGTGGGCTGCCCCCCCCCCCGCCTACATGCCACCTGGGGCGTGTCCCCCGTGCTTTCCTCACCTCCTAGCATCCTGCCTTTCTATCTCCTCAGCCAGCTCCTCGCCAAGGAGGGCAGAAGGGAAAGGAAGTCAAGGAGCTACCACATCGCAGTGGGGTTCACCAGGGAAGGCTGTCTGGCCAGAGCACAGGTGGGGATGCACTTGAGTAGGATGAGCTTCAGGCTCTGACCCCTCGGCCCTGCATCCTTGGGGAAACACAGACTGAAAAATTTTCCCCGATTCCAAGCAAAAAAAAAAAAAAAAAAAGATATAGAATTGTTTCTCGAAGTCTTCCCCACTGAGTTTATGAGCCCCGCCAGTAGCTCCTGAGCAAGCTCTACAAAAATGTTGGCAGCAAGCAGAGACCAAGAAAACATTGGTGTTTCTTAACTTAAACCAAAGTTGGAAAAAATGAGCACCAGTAGAGAGGGAGAGGAGCCCCAAACTAGACATTTCTTTATTTGCTGTTGCTATTTTGGGTCCGGCAGGCTGGCCCTGTCTGGGGGAGGGCAGGGGAGAGACTGGGGGTGGAGGGGGAAGGGGGGGTCAGGCATTCCTGCCATCTCCCTGGGGCTGGTGGTTTGGAGGGAAAAGGCCACTCACCACCCCAGGGAGGGGACATCTGAAGTGAACAGTCATGGGAGGTTGGCCAGGGGATGACATGCAGGGTCAGGGCCTCCTCCAGGCTTCACCGAGGATGAACCAAAAGCAGAGAGGCTGGGTGAAGGGGGAGACTGTCATTGCCTTGGTAGGCCCCACACCCCTTCCTTTTCCCCTTACCTGGCCTGGGCTCTCCTTCCAGGGATCCGGGCCTCCCCAGCCTATTGGTGACCTCTTACTTCTGTCCCCCCTGTACGCTTCTGAAGCCATCAGAGTCCCTTTCTCCTCTCATTCAGCGCCCTATTGCAGAGGAGGTACCCCTCTAGGCCCATGCTCACGAAACCTAGGGGCTTAATGTGCTACTTTCTCAAGGGGACAGTGTGTTGTTCTGAGAGTGAGGAGCTCCTGCTCCTCAGGCCACATCCGACCATTGATTTCAATCCAACGGTGAAGTAGTTGTGGAGGATAAATGTTTTATGTTGGGTTGTTGTGGTTATTGCATTTTGGCAGAGCTTCTGAAAGTTTCAAGGTAATAAGCAATTGAGGACCAGTGACTAGTGGTTAACATGCTGATAAGCACTTGAAAGGATAGCGATATCAGATGGCACACTAACATCTAGCCAAGACAAAAATAACAAAAACACCTACCCCCCCAAAAACAAACCAAACTGAAAATTGAGGAGGAGGCCTTAACCTCTTCCCCTTCCAGACCTGGATCATTGTATCTCCTTCAGAGATATGTTCTAGAACTGCACTGTCCAATATGGCCGCCGTAAGGGGCTATTTAAATTTAAATTAACTAAAATGAAATAAAACTAAAAATTTAGGTCCTTAGTCGCTCTAGCTGTATTTCAAGTGCTCAATCACCTCATGGGGCTAGCGCTACCAGATTGGACCGTGCGATGTTAAACTGTTTTGTAGCAGAAAATTCCACTGGGCAGGGTCATTCTAGAAGAGAACAGAAATGGAGATGTGGTGGGAGAGGGGAGAATGGGGGACCTGGTCTAGGCCTGGCTCGGCTTCACAGAGAGCACCTAGGTGGGGATGATGCAGTCTTCTTTGGAGAGAAGGAATCTTGGCAGGTGTGGAGAAGCCTTCTTAATTATACATTCCTGTTCTGTGAAATTCTGGTAAGTCCTCCAACAGGACAAATATCTTAGCCGACTGAGCCACCCAGGCGTCCCTCAACAGGACAAATATCTAAGGGTGTCAGGCTGCTATGCCTAGCCCCTGGAGGACCCCCCAGCCCGCCTCAGTGGGGACATCCTGATCTTAAAGGGGACTGTGGGTTTCTGTCTTTCTCTGGTACCCAGTATCCCATGGAGGGGGTACCCGGAGCCCGGATGCCAGTGCAGTTACGGGTGAAGCTCTGGTTTGGGCTTTCTGTGGATGAGAAGGAGTTCAACCAGTTTGCTGAGGGAAAGCTGTCCGTCTTTGCTGAAACTGTGAGTGCCTGCTAGCCTGCCCTTGCCTGCCCCCTGTCCCCCAAACTGCGCTGGGCCCTACTCACTTCTCTTTATTGCTTACTCTCCAGTATGAGAACCAGACCAAACTGGCCCTTGTTGGGAACTGGGGCACGACAGGCCTCACCTACCCCAAGTTTTCTGATGTCACGGGCAAGATCAAGCTCCCCAAGGATAGCTTCCGCCCCTCGGCCGGCTGGACCTGGGCTGGAGACTGGTTCGTGTGTCCAGAGAAGACGTGAGTCCTGGGCAGGGAGGCTGGGGGGCCCCCTCTGCCCTGGTCCTTTCTCTGGAAGACCACAGTCCTATTAATCGCTGTCCTTGCACCTCCTGCCCCTACGCTGGTCACAGGGGCTCCCACTTGAACTCTTCCAGGGCTAGGGGCTTGCTAGGCGGCATTGTTTCTGGAAGGGCTCTAACAATGGGAAAGTCCTTTACTATTAAACTAAAGTTGGCCTCCATTTGACTTTGCATCCTTTCGTTGCCACCTTCTCCCAGAGGCCACAGCCTGGTTCCTCCTTCCCGTGCCTGAAGCTTCTCCTCTCTCTCTGTACCTCTCAGAACAAGGCCGTCTGGCTGCAACACTGTCCCTACCCCTTTCTCCTCTCTCATTTCCTGTTTGGTTGATGTTCAACTGGGTTTCTTTCCTTTTCTTTGTTTAAATTGAGGTATAACATATATCAAGTACGTACGCAAATCTTAAGTGTACAAGCTTTGATCACATTTTACATTTCAACAACTGTCCACCTGTTGAGCTTCAGTGACACCCACCGGGCTTTTGGTGTCTTTGGCTTCCTTTCTCTTTTTGGTGTCTTTCTCTTTCTTTATCTTGGGTGCTGGTATATTCTTCTGTCTGGGAGTGTCTCTAGGTCCCCCTGGGTCTCCTTTCACTCTCCACCTGTGACTCTCTGCCCCTCCTTTCCCTCTCCTCTCCACCTTCTTCTTGTTGGTGGGGTGAGGCTGATGCAGGAAGCTTGGCTGAGGCCGCGGGGTGCTCTGCTGGAGGCGGTGGGTGTGGGAGGGATCTCTTCAGCAGAGGTTCTGACCCCCCCACCCCCTCCACCCCCAGGCTGCTCCATGATACTGACGCGGGCCACCTGAGTTTTGTGGAGGAGGTGTTTGAGAACCAGACCCGGCTTCCTGGAGGCCAGTGGATCTACATGAGTGACAACTACACGGATGTGGTAAGTGGGTGCTCCAGCGACAGGTGGGCTTTGCTTTCCTGCGGTCCTGGACCTTGGGGCTCAGGAGGGGCCTGTGGCTCAGAGAAGATGGGATGTTTTCTCCCCTGCTCTCATGTCCCCATCTTCATGCTCTGGTTTCCAGAGGGACGTGTGAGGTCCAGGGCGGATAGGACACTGATCTGGAGTCCCACCTGGGGCTTCAAGGATGTAGGTTGTCAAGTTGCATCTTTTCTGCTTCCCTGATGACATCTGTCTCTTCTCAACCCTTGCCTGTCCTGTGTTGCCCTAGAATGGGGAGAAGGTGCTTCCCAAGGATGACATTGAGTGCCCACTGGGCTGGAAGTGGGAAGATGAAGAGTGGTCCACGGACCTCAATCGGGCTGTTGATGAGCAAGGTGGGCAGCACATGGAGCCCGGTGAGACATACCCCAGCAAGCTCAAGAGGCGTGCTGGTGGGACAGCTGAGTGCAGGCCTCGTGCCCTGGGGCACTGGCCTTCACTGGGCTTCCTCCTCTGGGGGACTTCCTGGATTGGCCCTCACTTACAGCTACAAATTAAGTCCATTATCACTCATGAGCCTGTGACTGTGCCCGGGAGGGAGAGATAGCCTCTGGAGAGATGGGGGACGGCTGGGCAGTGACCGACAGGTGCCCTTCCCCCAGGCTGGGAGTACAGTATCACCATCCCCCCGGATCGGAAGCCAAAGCACTGGGTTCCTGCTGAGAAGATGTATTACACTCACCGGCGGCGGCGCTGGGTCCGCCTGCGCAGGAGGGACCTTAGCCAGATGGAGGCCCTGAAGAGGGTGAGTCCAGCAGATGGTGGTGGGGGGGGCAGGCGCTGGTTGGGTGAGGCCAGCTGGGCACAGGTGCACGCCTGTGTGCACAGACACATGCATGTGTGCTCAGGACATGTGTAAGGCATGTGGGCTCCCTCGAGATGCTCACAGATCACACCCAGTGCATGCCCAGCTGCTCACAGGTCACAGCACCCATGCAGATCATACCAGTACAAGCCCGGATGCTCACACCCAGATGCTCGTGACTGTGCAAGGAGACAGTACTTGGGATCTCATACAGACCCAGAAGGTGCCAAGACACATGGATGACCGAGTCTGTGGCCTGGGGTCCTGGAGGCAGAGTCCGAGACAGGGGTTTGGCTGCATGGAGCTTATTGAAGCAGGGTGCTCGGGAGTGCGGGGAGCCAGGATTTGGGCTCAGGCCAAGTCAGTTACGGCCTGAGCTGTGGCTTGGGGAGGGGCGCACCCTGAAGACCAAAGAATCATCCTCACCTGGAGGCAAGGGGGCTGGGGTTTGTACCCTCTTGGTTGTGTCATTGGCTGCAGTTACTGGGAGTGGGCTGAGGCCCGTCTCCTCCCCATGGAGCCTGCTCCCTTCAGCCTGGGCAAGTCCCTGCTGGAGCTAGCAGGAGAGGATGTAGGCACCAGGCTGCTGAGGATGTATGCGCCATGTTGCCAGCTGGTGCCTCGGTGGCCTCAGTCAGCATTTACCAGAGGACGTGTCCGCAGTGCGAGCACACATGCCCACGGGCATGCCCAGATACCCACAGGACAGAGGCGGGGAGTGGGTACATATGAGTGAACACAATGCACGCACCTGCTCTTGGAGTCCCCCAGATGCCCATGTCCTGCACAGCCTCAGTGCTTGCCTCCCCAGTCCCTCTTGTGCCCTGTTCTTCCTTCCTAAGTAGGCATTTGAATTTTGGCCCAAGAGCCAGGCCTCCCCCAATCCAGGAGTAGCCTTTGGCATGACCCAAATTTCTTCCTTTCTCTTTGGGCACAGAGAATCTAGAGAGGGATGTCACTGGGTCCAGGGAGAAGCAAGGTTTTGGGGCAACAGACTGTTCGTGGTGCCATGAACCGGACAGACTCCACTCTCCTTGTAGGGCACCCAGGGGATGGAGGTGAACCTTGTCAGGCAGGGGGCCTCGCCCGCTCCGTAACCCCCGACGTCCCTCCCGGAGAGAGATGTGGCTGCCCTCCAGGACTGGCTCTTGTTGCTTAGTTCATGGCCGGAGCCTGAGGGGCACCTGAGGACAGCGTCCGGTCATCAGCTGGATAAGAAGGGGCTTCGAGGCCTCCCTCCAGGCCTGGGAAAGGGTCCTCTCGAGGAAATGCCAGGGGGGCCCTCCACAGCTGACCTAGGCCTAGCCTCAGGGAGAAATAGCCTGGGGTCAGGAAACAGAATCTTCATTGACCCACTTCTATTTTTATAAGCTGGGATGTGAAGAAGAAAAGGGAAATGACAAGAAAACCTCGGATTCATGAAATCCACCCGTAATCCAAGTAAACAAACAGACCCAAAGCCCAGGGTTTTCATTGCTGCTTTAGCCTACCTGCCCTCTCCGGCTCCTCAGATCCCCACAGCCCAGGGAGCCTCTTCTCCCCCTGATTTTCCGACCTGGACTCCTGTCATTGCAGAAGCGGCTCAGGGCCCCCCTCCTCCAGGTGGCCTTCCCAGCTGTTCCCACCTGGAGGGTGCTGGTGTGGAGTGGGTGGGGAATCGTGGAGGGCAGGCCAGAGAGGGGAGAGGTGCCACAGGAGCCCAGCCCAGGGTCTCCCCGTGGGGCCGCCAAGCAGGGCCTGAGTCCGTCCTGTTGTCCCCATGCAGCACAGGCAGGCGGAGGCCGAGGGTGAGGGCTGGGAGTACGCCTCGCTCTTTGGCTGGAAATTCCACCTGGAGTACCGCAAGACGGATGCGTTCCGCCGCCGCCGCTGGCGCCGCCGCATGGAGCCGCTGGAGAAGACTGGGCCTGCCGCCGTGTTTGCCCTCGAGGGGGCTCTGGTATGTCCCTGGGCCTGTGGTGGGTCAGTGAGGTGCAGCTTGCTTCCCCAGGGCTCTTGACGGCTGAAGCGGGAGCCCCCAGGATAGGACTTTGGAGGGAACATCGGCTGGTCACCTTGGCTTTAGTTCCTTTGGGGTCGCCTGTGGGGAAAGTGGATGGTAGTCTGGGTGTCTTCCTAATATAAAACAGCTCCTTCTTGGCACTGGGAGACCTGCTGCTTCTTTGTGTGGTCAAGAGGGAAGCAGGCAGAGAGGGTCTCGGTCCGACTGAGGTCACGGGTCTGACCTCTGACTGGAGCCAAGGGACCTGGTTCTCCTCGAAGAGCCTGGCTGCCACAGGGTGGGTCTGAGAGGCTTTGGCCTAGCCCCTGGGAGTAGCCAGAGAGGTCTGACGACCCCTGAATGTCCTTGGTTGGACACGAGTCCTCCTTGGTTGGACCGAAGCTGTCTTGTGGCATCCCTGAGATTTTGGGGGAGAGATGTACCTCAGAAACTGAACCTCAGGCTGGTGGTCCTGACTTACAGTACACTTTCTGGAGCCAGTAAAATTGGGGTCAGCTCCAGGTTACCAGGGTCTGGCTGATGTGTTTCCCCAAAAGATGAGCAGGCCCTTCCTGGACAGTCTGAGTAGGATCATTCTCCACTCTGTTTTGGTCTGGGGATTCCTGGAGGTGGGAGGACATGCCCAGCATGAGGCCCTTCCTCTGAAATCCAGCCAGGACTGCCCAGCCCCTGGGGTTTTGGACTGTGACTCAGAGAGCAGGTTCTACCAGCTTTGAAAGCTGATGGGATCTGAGTGTGTCCATGTGCACCAGTTTTGTGTGTGTGTGTGTGTGTGTGTGTGCATGTATGTGAGGATTTGGTCGGAGGGAGGACCACTGGGGCTTTGTCCTGAGCCAGGGAGTACAGAGGACAGGCCCAGGATCTGACAGGATGGATATGGGGAGGGGAATTGAGACTGGCGATGGTCTGAGGGGGTTCCATCCCTCTCAGGCCTTGATGGTGGGCCAGGTCCAGCGGTGGCAGTATGGGAGAGGAAACCCCCTGGGGGCCAGATAATGCCAGATGTCTGATGATGTCTTGGGGCCAAGTTGTGGGGTGGCTGGAAGGAGACGGCAGAGCTCTGGGCCGCTGGGCTCGTGCTCGGCTGGGCGGGAGGAAGTTGCTGTCCCAGCTGGAGCAGCCCCAGCTGGAGGTCTCATAGGGCAGTGCTGGTATGTGTTGACCCCCTTTGTCCTGTCAGAAAGGGCCTGGCCTGGGCACAGGGCAGGGCCTGGGGGTGGGCTTGTAGCTCCAGCTGAGGCGTGGGGGGATCAAGGCCTTGGCAGAGCTCAGAGTCAGGGTCTGAGAAGCCTGGGTAGGTACCCTAAGGAATAGAAACTCAGTGAAATGGGTTACAGAGAGAAAAGGAGTTTAAGGGCTCAGACGGACAGGAGAGCCCAAGGGACGAAGCAGGCATTAGGTCTGGCAGGAAATGGGGGTTCGCCAAGTATCCCTGGGACTCTGTCTCTGACTCGTTCCTCTGTCTTGGCCTCATTCTCACACTGGCTCACTCTGGGTGGTAACAAAGATGGCGCCGACATCAACTTTACAGCCGGCAAAGCCCTGCTAGGTGAAAGAGCACAGCCCGCCTGGCATCCTCTGTTTCCCTCACAGCTGGAGACCAGAGGGGAGAGTGCTGTTTTCTCTATAATGCCGTGACAGTCTTGGGTGTGACTGACTGGCTCTCGTGGCCATGTGCCCATGCCAGCCTGAGGGTCAGGAATGGAATGTTCTGATTGGCCATGCCGGGTCATGCCCCTTTTCTGTAGTTGACAGCACCATCAGGATGCAGAGAAGAGCGTCTGGAAAGGAAAAAAAAAAAATCCCTGCAAACAGTGCTCGGCAAAGAGCTACTGCTGATGGCCACAGGACTCTGTTCAATGAGCAATAGGGAGCGGGTGTGGGTTGTTGAGCAGAGGAGTGCTCTGGTCAGAGCTGGGCTTCAGGGCCGTTAGTCAAGTAGCCATGGAGGCTGGTTAGGGTGGAAGAGTGGAAACCATCAGGAGACCATCAGGAGTCTCGGTTAGTGATCTGGGATGAGGTGACCATCTGGGGTGGGAGCTGGGGGCTGGAGTAGAGGGAAGTACAGAGTTTGGGGAGGGTCAGATGGGCCCAGAGGCTCTGCTGGGTGCATGGTAGGGCTTCTCCCATCGCCGGGCCACAGGGTGGGTGGGGTGGGCCTGGGGCCATGATGAGTTCATGGTTGGCCCTGGCAAGTCTGACACACATGGTTAAGTGCTGTGTGAAGGAGGCGGATCTGGCAGTTGCTTGCCAGGCCGCCCAGGGCAGGGAGGCCAGGGCCGTGGGAGAGAGGACGCGAGGCCAGAGGTAGCCAGAGACACATGGGCAGCAGTGTGGATGGGTTCTGGGGCTGGCCAGGATCTGGGGGAAGAAGATGAGCAAGGCTGGGGCTCCACTGCCAAGCTTTCATGGCTCGGTGACTGGGAGAATGAAGGGGGGCACTTCCCAGAAACAGAAACCAATCCGTTTATTCTTTATGTGGGAGAAAATGTCGTGAGGGAGCATTGAAATCAGATGTCAAGTCAACAGACGTGGGGAGGTGGTTGATTGTGAAGCAGATGTGCCTTGCCTGTGATATGCAGCAGAAACCAACATAGGGAAGCCCTCTGAGTCCCGGGGGAGCTTGGCTGACACAGAGAACCAGGGGCAGACAGTGGTTGGAGAGGCTGGATCCCACAGACCTGGAATTGGAGGACACAGTTTTGGAAAGTCCTTAGGTGTGGCCAGCATTTGGACAGGGCCACTGGCCCATTTGACAGTAACTGTCTGGACCACTCTGTACTTCAGTGACTCGAACCTCCATCAGCACCAACACACACACACACACACACCCTCTCCTTCATGGTCACCTAGATGTGCTCCTGTCCCCAAATCTGCTGTCCTTCGTCCTGGGAGGTACTGATGGCACTGGGGCTAACGTCCAGCCTGCATCATGGGAGCAGATGGTAGGGTTCTCTGGGTGCCCAGACCCCGCTAATGTCTTGGTTGCTGGCCTTGTCCACTGGTCACTGATGTCTGCTGATTCTCTTGGCCGGAGCATGGTGGGATAGGCGAGGCTTCAGAGTGGAGCAGGTTTGGTCTGAATTCTGCTTCCTCTTTTTCCTAGCTGCGGACAGGTCACTTACCCTTTTAGCAATTCTGTTACCTCGTCTGTGAAAGTCACTGCATCCTAGAGTCATTGTAAGGGGGACCCACGTGACACATGTAAGGAAGTGCTTCTCAGGCTGAGTGAACATAGGAGCGATGTGGGGGTCTTGTTAAAATGTGCACTCAGGATTCCGTGTCTGGGTGAACCCGAGAGTCTGCGTTTCTAAGAGGACTCCAGTGATGTCAGTGCTGCTGGTCCAAGGACCACCTTTGAGGGGCAAGGATGTGAGGCACGTCGGGCATCAGGAAGATGAGGGAGGTGGTCACATTGCCCTGCTCCCCCCCACTTGGATGCCTTTCTGAGAGAGGCAGGGCATATCCATGACTGGGTGAAGGTGTGTGGCCAGGGTCCTAGAGAGGGGAGCAGGGAATAATGACGTGTTCTCCTTGCTTCCTGGTGAGAGAACAGCGATCTTTGCTTCTAACGATCCCCTGATCTGATGGTGGAGGCCTGGCCTGTGGGGAACTGTTGTCTGATGAGGAAGAGAGGCATTCCCATGTGAGTACAAATGAACCCAGTAGGATCTGCATCTTTGAGGTGCTGGAGGGCAGAATAAGGATCTGCCATGAATGCTCTGGCCAAGAATGACGGTGTCTAATGAGGGAGGCTTCTTGGAGAAGGATGTTGGGAGGCAGACCTTGAAGAAGTCTAGGGAAGCACCGTGGGTGGTGACCAGGTGGTCTTCCTGGTAATCTGACATTTCTGGATGCCTGGGCCCGAGGGCCAGCCTGTGGTGCTCCCTTGCCTCCTTCCACCCCTCTCCTGGCCCTCTGGTCCACCAGCAGGCTGCGCCTTGCTTGCCAGTTGCCCTCCTGAAGACATCTTGCTGGAAGGCAGGCTCTGTCTGCTCATTAGCACGGGCAGTCTTTCCCTGAAACCTTCTGCTGGGGCCAAGCCTGGCTCCCTCTGTGGAGCGGGAGGCCCTGGCTCCGTCTGCTAATCGTCTGCTGTCTCCATCCCGAGCATTATTTTATTTTCGTATTATTCTTTTTCCAGCTAATATCCTGGCATTCCCAAGGACACCGGTTTCATAATCTTCCTGGCGTTCCCAGGGAGCTGGGAAGCAGAGCACAAAGCTGCTATTATAGCGCATTCCGTCCAGCCTCCCTCTCCTCGCCCCACACCCCTTGCTGCCGCCACCGCCGGCTCCCACCCGGGCACCCCTTCCCGACGCCACCGGCCTCTCTGGGAACTCTGGTGACGGCTGCTGGGGTGAGCTCACAGAATCCATCCTGTCGCCCTTGCCCTGGGCCTGCCCTTCATGCGCAAGGATTTTTCCAGAGCCCTGCCTCTGTGCTTGGCCCTGAGTGTTAGGAAGGGTTTTCTGAGATGCCTGAGCCTGGGCAGGAGGGAAGGAGACAGAGACTCGGCAACATGTGCTCAGAGCCTTGGAGCTTTTTAGAGCTGGAAGGAACTTTCATGTTCGAAAGGTGCTCTCCACCTGGCTTTGGATCCCCTTGAAATTGGATGCATAGTTGTGGGTGTGTGGGTGCGATCCGTGTATGCAAGTGTGTCTGATGTGTAAGCACATGGCTGTTGTGTGCGCACACACAATATGTGTGCAACGTGCCCGTGTGTGTGATATGTATGTGCACGTGTGTATGAATGAGTACGATGTGTGTGCACGTGTGATAACGTGTGTATGTGCACTGTGGGCATGTGTATCTGTGATGTGTAAATTCTGGCTTAAGGTCTGTGGTTTTTCTCCAATTCTCAAGGGAATTTGGGAGCCCAAAGAGGAGAAGAATCACTGAAAGCCATTTTACCATGTGCCAAAGATCAGGCTGAA